GCTTATTAACTACGTTATAGGTAATTCCTTTATATTAAAGTCCTAATTAATAGTTAATTATTATATTTAATATATATATCTATCTTTAGAGGGATAATATCTTTAAAATAGTGTTATCTATAACGTAATAATCTTATATATATAGCACCTACTACTATAGGCTTTTTATAGTTCTCCCTAAACATTATATTAAAGGAGAAGTAAGTATTAAAGATCTTTCTTTATAATATAAGCTACTATTAAAAAGATACTAATTTAAATAACTAATAATATTGTCAGGGAAGAGGGATAAGCTTGGACATAAGGGGGTCACGTGTAAGGGAGCGGATATATAGAGGCGAGCTGCCGACGAACTAGCAGGGAGGAGGCAGCGATAATTCTATCATCATCAGTAACCCTAAGGATCATTCTGTGACTGAAGTCCCTCAAGCACAACAACCTCATAAATATACTTTATTAACTAATTAGACTTATATTAGACTAATAGAATAAAGTAATAAGCTAATTCATTAAAAAGCTTATTATATAATATATAAAAACTACTATTAATCTAAAATACTAATAAATTAAGTAAATAAAAAGAATATTATAAATAACCTTTGTCTTTTCTTCTTTTATCCCCTTTCTTTCATACTAATCTGAGATTCCGTAAAACTTCAAATTCTGTGAACTAGATTAAATGTTCTTCTTCGCTTCTTCGTATCGGTCATCGATATGATCTTTGGCCACCTGTGTTTGTTCTCGTGCTTGGCAAATCCTTTGTCCATTTTTCATTCAAAAAAGTCCATTGCCAGACATTGAAAGAAATGCTGCGATGACCGAGAAACATCTTTCTCTGGACAAATCCCCAAACTATGCCGATTTCCAATGAACGGTTCAGTATCAGAAGGGACTTGACATTATAGGTGTCGGGGCGGCGGGTCAAGTCTACAATGTCGATGATTATGTCGTTTTGAAAGCGTGTAGAATATATGAGCCTCCTTCGAGTGATGCTGCTCCACACGCCTTATGGGACTATGCCTCGGAAACCATCTTTCACGTTGGCATCTTGAAAGATGAGAAAACTGTCTTGCGCTTGCTTACAGAGCATCCTCATCCGAACATTATAGAAGCTATTCACATGGATCATCCTGAAGGCATCTATCTCCGCAAATACCAGCCACTTTCCGCCCTTACACCAGGGTCTCAGTCAGATCGGATTTTTTGGTACCAGGACATCATACGGGCGCTTCTTCACCTCCACAAACTTGGTATCTCCCATTCGGACATACGCAAAGATAATATACTCTTTGATCAACAAGGCCACGCTCTACTTGGTGATTTTGGCGCCAGTTGTCCATTTGGACACCCCAATCCTTCTCTTCCGGTTCTTTTCAATGGACCGTCAGAGACTGTCTCTGATGCGACAGATCGATTTGCTATGGGTTCACTGATCTACGAACTGGAAACTGGAGTCCGGTCGGAAATATCCTTCGACGATCACGACGGCCTTATTTTACCCAAGATCCATACAGCTCACGATGGCCTTGACTCTCTGATCGAAAATGCTTGGCGCGGACAGTATGATTCTACAACAGATATGCTGAAGCATGCGGAATGTCTCAATACTGTCCAGGACAGTCGCGGGCCAGTTGAACATCCCGTTTCCAAGACAGAATTAATTGCACGAATCGCGCAGTGGAGGAAGAACCGGGCGCAGCAACATGGTAATTTGGCCATCAATGAAAATGACACGAAGGAACCGGGCCAACAATGCATACTAGGCTGTGTCCTCTATTCTTTACCAACTGAGCCTCAGCTGCAAATTCTAGCAGAGCGTTATGGCTGGAGTATGGATGAGGAGCTACGTTTTCGTGATGACAGTTTCATTTTCTCTAGGGGTGAAACCCCTAGCTGATACTATTATTCCAATGGGATATCAGTTATACACCCCAAAGAGCCGCCAAGTGGGAGGTAAGGAGGGAACTAGGAGGGCAGAAAAGTGAATGACTAGGTATGACCGATATATCATTCAGAAAGAAATGCTAAGGATTACTGTTTCTTCCTGAGTGTCGTGCTCCAGTACACCAGAGCCCCACTAGGGATTCCCTCCTAGGCTTATAACTGTCACGCCAAAAAACAACAGACGCCTGTCTCTTGACATTTAGTTATTGTCCCTCATATTTATGTGACACACTTTCCCGTCGGCCAACTTATTAGCGCCTCGTGCGCCTGTACCTGCCATTAGGGGAGTTGGAGAGCAAGCCCGCAGTGGGCACCTGGCAGTGCCGCATGGGTGCTGAAGAAGGCCCCGTAGCGCCCTCGTTGACGGCTTGGCATATAAGGTACCTTAGGTAGGTACCTACCTAGGTACTAGGTACTGTTGTACATACCTCTGCTGACAGAGCTCGCTCTTCAAGGCAATCCCGTGGTTACCACTGGCTTTATTACCTAATAAGCACCTTGCCTGCCGCGCCTGCTTGCCTGATGCCTGACTACCTACCTAGCTATTGTAAATCTGCGTAACGTCGGAGCGCGCCTTTGCGCTCCCTACGGCGTAAATTGCTATGCCCAAGTATCTATGTGTCGTCATTGTTCATGTTTTCGGAGGGGGCTTGGGGGCGCCTTACCTGCGCAGCGTGACCAGCTGGTCTCCGCCAACAACAAAGGACGGGCACCAGACAGTTACCGCTAATATCAAATCACGAACCCTTTCATTGTTCTGTTTTGCTTCCCCAGGAAATAATAAGCCCGGCCGGCAACATTTTTGACTACTTTACCCCGTACCCCAAATTTTGTTCAGCGCTGACATCGACGCCGTTCTGATCGGATACAACGCCGGGCGCTGTCCGGACCTGCGGGGTCATCTGGAAGCGGGCCGCTGGACCGAGTGCATGCACCACGACGCGCAAATACGCTCGGAGTAGAGAGGGAATGCTTTTTATTTCCTTGTTCAAATGGACATCGTCCTGGCTTCCGGAGTCGAGGCTATAGTTGTACATGCATATAGACACACTACACATATTCGCTCAGCCAGAGTTTGGACCGCCACAATGGTCATGGCTCACATTTAGTCTGCTGACCATTGTAAAAGGAGGTACTTGCGAAAACCACCCGGACCTCGTGAGCGAGAAACGCGCTTCGCAAACCGTCTCGGCGCACACGGCCTATCTAGTAACCTACCCAACTAGGTAGTTGGTTATCTTGTCAGAACTAGCTTCCAGATAATCTTGAACAACAAACCAGCCAGAACCGCCAAATACATTCTACTGTAGCTACGGCCAGGCCCGATGCTCTCCACCTTGAACTGCCATTATGCTGCTGTTGAATTCTCTTCTCTCGCTGCCGCGCGCTGCGCACCTTTAACGGCATAGCTTCACCCACACTGTTGCTGCGGGCATCCTCTCTCACCTAACTTTAGAGGTATAGCTTCAAGCCCTTGCTCGTCCGGTTTGGGTGTGAAAGCTGGGAACAGGGGGTCTAGCCACTTTTTTTTTTTTTTTTTCGTCTCGTGCCTCTCTTGTTGTGGTTTTTTTGCACGGAGTCCGCGTCCCCCGCCGAAACGCCGCGCCGTCACTGTTGGACAACGACCGAGGGGTACACAACAGAGAAAGAAGCCCCCTCGTCCCCTCCTTCTCGGTCGAGTTTTCTGCTTCTTGGCCGCCCACTTCCGAGCTCGAGGATAAAAAGCTTGCTCCATCCCCCTCCACTACCGTTTTCGTCTTTCACTGTTTTGGAGGGAATTTCTAGAAAACTTTCATTCTCTTTCGCCTCCTTTTCAATCTCCTTCCTTCACTCTACTTCGTCGAGCGTTGTAGATAGCTACCGGCGCAAGGAATAGAACCCCACGTTTTTGTCGCCTCTGCTCTTTCGTCGCGCATATACCCCACCATCACCGCAGCCATGAACGTTCCTAGCAAGTTTCTCAGCAATCCCCAGGATCTCGGCGTTGTCGCCGTCGGTTTTTCTGGTGGCCAGGTATGCGCCTCTTACCCCTCCTGTTCTCCCCTTGGCCAATCGCGACTGCGACAAAGTGCGTGAGAAAATGGTCGCCGACCACTAACACGTTCCTCTCAATCTAGCCCAAAGCTGGCGTTGACAACGGCCCAACCGCCCTTATCGAGTCCGGCCTCCTCACCCAGATCAAGGACGAGCTCGAGTATAACCTCCACGGCGACTCCGAGGTGCAGTTCTACAAGGACCTGACCCCGGCCGCCGACCCCGATTACCGCGGCATGAAGAACCCGCTGGTCGTGTCGGCCGTCAACCGCAAGATTGCCGAGGCCACCTACAGCCACTCGTCGCAGGGCCGCCTCACCCTGACTCTCGGCGGCGACCACTCAATCGCCATCGGCACCATTGCCGGCACCGCAAAGGCCACACGCGAGCGCCTCGGCCGCGAGATTGCCGTCATCTGGGTCGATGCCCACACCGACATCAACACTCCCGAGGGCTCCGGTTCGGGCAACATCCACGGCATGCCCCTCGCCTTCCTCACCGGCCTCGCCAAGGACGACAAAGAGGAGTACTTTGGCTGGCTCAAGGACGACATGCGCCTCAACATTGCCAAGCTCGTCTACATTGGCCTCCGCGACGTCGACAAGGACGAGAAGAAGATTCTGCGCGACAACAATGTCAAGGCCTTTTCCATGTTTGACGTGGACCGGTGAGCTGATCTTACCGGCAGTAAATCAATCATTGCATCGCTAACAGTACGTCAAAAGGTACGGTATCGGCCGCGTCGTCGAAATGGCCCTCGCGCACATTGGCAACGACACCCCCATCCACCTGTCCTTCGATGTCGACGCCCTCGACCCCATGTGGGCGCCCAGCACCGGCACCCCCGTCCGCGGCGGCCTGACCCTGCGCGAGGGCGACTACATTTGCGAGTCTGTTCATCAGACCGGCAGCCTCATCGCCATTGATCTCGTCGAGGTCAATCCCGAGCTCGCAGCTACCGAGGAGGGTGCTAAGGCCACCATTGGCGCTGGCTGCTCGCTCGTCCGTTGCGCTCTCGGCGAGACTCTGCTGTAAAATGTATGCAATACCTTGACATTTGGGGGCGACTTTAAGAGGAGCCGCAAAAACAAAAATGGTTAGAGCGTAAGCGATGCTACGCCGATTTTTTTCTTTGTCATAGAGGGCATCGACGGTTTTTTCACTTGGTCTGGCGTACTAGGTGGCATATGAAAAGAGTGCATTTAATGAGATGGAAACTCCCTAGTAACGAAAATAGGTAGAAAGCCAACGTCTGTCACGATATATATAAATACAATTAAGATTGTTCTTCTTGATTCCTTCATAAGAGATTTGTTTGTTATGCCTTGATTGTTTTCCTTGTTGTTCCTTTCAAACACAATGTCGTGCATGACGTACCTGTATGCATGTTTTAGACGCCCACCGCGTGGCGTGGCTGGGGTACGGCAACTAGCCCAGCCACCCCTGCAACCTGCCTCGTTTGTCCTCGTCGGGTTGCGCTCTTTTGCGAATCTGCACTTCAACTCCTAGCATTGCGACTTTGTTTCAACTTGATGCATACTATCGCGCGCGTATCTTCAAACTTTCAGCGTCACCGAAGAAAAAGAGCGCACGCGCGCGCGGTGCAATCAATTCTATACTCCCCCGCCCACCACACTGCGACACACACAAAGTCCAACACCACCCCGGCCCGTCCGAATAACAAAGTGAGAAGAGAGAAGGGACCGCACCGCTCTTGACGCGGTTTACGCAGCGACGCTCGTTCGAATAGCCACGACGGCCAGGTTTACTACGCATCTTGTGTCGATTATATAACTGGTTGTCGCGCAACGCTAAGGAAAACAAACGCTCACGTCGCTGGTTGTCGCCAAAGGCCCCGAGATCCGTCATCGACAAACGTTGCCCTCTCCAGCCCGTCCCCAACATTGGCCTCGCAAACGGCGCAAAGAAACCTCCCCCGCCGGCCACATCCGACATCATTTTAACATGGTCCTCTCCTCCACGCTGACGCCCGACTCCGTCGTCTACGACCATCGGCGCATCGTCCACATTCGGACGTACGACTGGCCGCGCTGGTCGATCCGCATCTGGCTCTTCGTCATGCTGCTCGCCGCGTCGAGCATCCTCGGCGTCTTTGCCACCTTTCTGCAGATGCAGTCGGAGTTGGGCCTGCCCGTGCCGTGGTACCTCCCGTACTACGTCACCGTCGCCGCCGTGGCGCTGACGTTTCTGCTCATTGTCATGTGGCTCCTGTGGAACAGGCGGCTGCTGCCGGGCGTCGTTTTCATTGGCGCGCTCGCGCTGTTTGTGCTGTGGATGGTTGGACTGGTGGCGAGCAGCATCGCGCTCTGGGGCGCGGGCGGCGTGCAGAGCGTGTGCAACGTGCAGGTGTTTAGCCAGAGCCCGCACGCGCCCGACGTGACGACGCTGGCGTGGATGCAGCAGCGCAATATCTGTGAGTTGTCTCCTTGGGAGACAGTGAAAATGAATCGAGGCTAACGAGATTGCAGGCCAAACGTGGTATTTGGTTTTTGCCATGGGCTTGACGGGTGCCATTTTTCTGATCTGGGGCTTGTTTATATCGTACCACGTATTTAAGCGCTCATGATGTGTGATGTGTACATTTTGTGATATAGTTGTCATCTTGGCATGCAATATTTGTTGTTGGCTACACAGCGTTAGGGTTGGGTTAATAAAATCTGGCGTTTACGGATCATACTGCATGCTTCTTTACAGACCCTGCCAGGCAACACCAGTCTTGAGTATGTTTTGAACCAAGCGACAAGATTAGAAAGCACGCAGACCTTTTCGGTCACTCGTTGAAACTATGATTTTCACAGAAACCCTGTTGAAAACGAATCCTTACGAGGCAAATCTCGCAAATATACCCCTCGTCGGACCCCTCCTGTGGTAATTGTTCTGATCTTGTGCAGATTCAGGGTAGAAGTGTGCTCGTGGCAGAGATCCCAAGTGCTGGGTTAAAAACGTTGCGGGGAGGTATTTACCCCTTGTGTTGAGCTATACGCTCAAAAAATGGACGCACCACATCTTTGTAGCGCCTATACCCCCTTATATTACAACACCTTGGCTTCCGAAGACAGATTATGGAAAAGCAGTCAGGCTCGAAGCAAACCCTGTGCCGCTTTCTTATTGTTTAAACGCCGCCACAGTATTCCCCTGAACGATTTTCAAAGCCCCATTATCTCGGCTCAACTGGTCTTTTCTACAAAGTACCGTTACTCGTGGCGGTGCAAGGCTAGTTTCACCCCCTTTCCTTGCTCAGCTGTAATAAAGGTGCAGCAGCCACCTTTGGGGCTTGCTTGCGCCGGGCAGCCTCATCAGCCTGGCCGAGACCCAGAACCCCTCCATGAAGCCCCTCCAGCCCCTCATCCGAGTTTCGTCGCATTCTGAATGTTTCCCTCACAAGTTCACCATGAAAACCAATTAAACAAAGTTGTCAAAGCGTTGGAAAGGAAATTTTCCGAAATACATCATCTACTATCCAGATTTCCTGGTGTTGTAGAAACGGGAGGTTGACGTGGTTTCCCACATTTATGAAGTCATGGAGGGGGGGAAGCCATATTCTCGGAAGCTGGCGAGCTTAATCTCGCATTGCTTTTTTCGGTTTGACCCTCATCTTGGACTCTTTTTCTGAATCACTAGGTACGGGTGTCGTAGCAGGCCTCTAGCTCAATGGCCGCCCACATCACAAATAAGAGACTTGATGTTGGATGGAACCAGGAGTGCCAGGCAGCCAGGCCAGCTACTGCTCTTCGCGCAACACAAAAAAGTCATGGCCATTGATGTATCTGGAGGACGTTCACCCGCTGCCTGCTTTTCAGCCACAGCAAGGAACGCATCTCTGGGACCAATTGTCGTAACTGCCGCCCTTGCCGTGCAAAGTACTTGGTGGTTGATAGTTCCGTTATTATCCACATTTCAGTCTAGCGTCGTCACTTGTTGCCTTTTCAAAGTCGGCTACACTAGTAGACCAGAGCCTGGCGAGCTGAGTTGTTGGAGAACTTATCCCAGCTGTGGATCCCCGCTCCTGGCATCATCTGGGTAGCTCTTCTCAATAGGAGGGGCGAAGCTTTCGTGCATGACGTATCGCGCACAGGCGGTCGACGGGGTGTGTGTGGAAAGGCATCGTGGATGTGGTTGGTGGCCTCCAAGCTAGGCCCTTTTCCTTTTGAGTTGTTGAGCTCTTTGCGGTTTGGGTTTGTCGTGGGCTCGGCTGTACTGCGTGGATGGATGGATGGATTTACGTTCCCGCCCAGATCGGAGAGGGGAAGTCGACGCTCCTGGAATCGGGTGCGGACGATTCGAAAGGTATAAGATAGACGGGCCCTGCGTTCCCTTTTTAGTTTCTTCTTCAATTCTTTGCAAATAAAAACTCCATCACATCTCTTTGCTTTCAATCCCCACCTCTACATCACAATGGATCTTCTCAAAAAGGCTGGCGAAACCCTCAACAAGGGCAATTCCTCCAACAACAATGAGCAGCAGACCCAGAACCAGGGCGGCGACAACAACCAGCAGCAGGGTGACAGCAGCAACAACGCTGACAAGCAAGACTACCTTGACAAAGGTAAGCTTCTCTTCCCCGAGCAGTGACCAGTGCCGCGGCCAGTCAGTGTGCCCGAGACCATTTGCTAACATGATTCGGCGAACGCAGGCATCGGCTTCGTCTCCAAGAAGGCTGGCTACAACATTGACCGCAACACCGAGGAGAAGATTGGCGACGGCGCGCGCGGCGCTTATGAGAAGTTCTCTGGGTAAGTCTTCAAAAAACGGCGTCAAGCGTTGGCCGACATGATGAGGGCTCCCTGACTAACGAGGATGTCCGCTGTACAGCTCCAAGGTCCCCGAGAAGTTCTCCAACTAAGAACATTTCCTGTACAAATTCATGAGGGAAATTACATAGGCTGCATCAGGCCCTGCCACCCGCTTCTGGCAGAATAGACTAGTCGCGATACGCAACAGTTAATATACCACTTGCCCTCTTGTCCAATCTTTCTCGAAATCACGACGGTTTTCTTTTTTCAGAATGCGGACGCAAAACTGAAATGAAGTGATGCATTTTACCGAACGCTCTTTGAAGATTTGCCGGGGAGCTGCTTGCTGACGGCCTCTGGTCGGAGGAAGCGCCGTTTCGGCGCCGCCCCATAGATAAAGGCTTGCGTCAGTGTGGAGAGCAGCCAAAGCCTAAAGCGACAGCTGATTGAGAACGGAGCCGTTGCTGACGGTATCGTTGGCTCTTCTCTGAAGAGGATGGCCACTATACTTATGGAACCGAGGATTATGCCGCTGATGAATTGGTGTACGTCGCAGGCGAAAGGCAGATGAAGTTGGGGATGCATGCAGAGCGCGCGCGGAGAAGGCTTCCAGTGACGTTGCAAGGAAGCGTCAGCCAGACGCGGGGAAGCAGGGTCCAACCCAGCAGTTACTGAGTAAGACGCACAACAAAAAATCTAGATGGCACGTTCAATAATCCTTAGTCTGCGACAGAGTTTCCCCGCGGATTGATGGTTGACGAATGCTGTTGTGCTACCTTGGCGTTTGAACGATTACCTTAGGGGTACGAAAGGAAGCTGATGCCAGGCTGTTGGTACCTATCTCGATGATGTATTCAGTGGTACTCACCCAACTTGCATACAAAGTACATAAAAGTCTTTGGACGGGCAAGAATGAGATGGGCATACATGAGCCGAGAGATCATTGTAGTATGCTCATCAATTATCCTCGATCTAATAATATCGTAGATTGCAGTTACAGATGTCTGTGGCTCAAACACGTCGGGGGAACTGGCTTGGTGTCCGGGCAACCAGAGATCCTATACCTACCTTACCTAATGGGTTGTGGGGGTTAGCGAACCCCTGCAGCGGCCCCTGTAGCGGCCCGTGACCTGCCCCGAAAGCACCTTACAAGCGCTGTGACGGATGTCTGTAATGCGCTATCGCATTTACTTGTACAGTGGGCCCAAGATAATTCGAAGCATATCACCACAAACTCCCCGTGCATTGCTAAGAATTTCCTGGAGACAACTGTGCAGAGTGAGCTAAATACCCGTGAATTGTTGCTAGAAACTAGAGGCACTGTAATCCGTGAAGCCCTGTGTTTGATTATATGCCCAGGTACCTACCTACCTACCTACCTACCTACCGAAGCTGCTAAAGTACCTAGGTACCTAGCTACATAAGGTAAGCTTGCCAGCGAATCCACAACGCGCCCGTCCACTTTGTCGCGTCCTGGCTTAGCAAAAAAGAAAAGTGGTGTCTTCCATCCTCTCTTGTCCCCAGCATCAGGAACATTACACCAGTTTGCGCCGCTGCCTCTATTTTAAATCACATAATAGCCATTCTGCCTCCGTTGAATCGAGACTCATGCGCTCCGTATTTACGACTTTACGACTTTACGCTTCCAAAACGCTGCACTTCTCTCCTCTTCGAAGCACTACTCGCGACACCGTTGCGCGCGCCTTGACGCCCAATTCACTTTCATCCACCATCGCAGCGCAACCACTTCCTTCCTCGTTCGCTGTCTGCGCCAGTAACTTGTTCTCCGAAGAGCTACCCATATTGTCCACTATGCAACATGGCTGACTCGACGGATACTGCTGGCGGCTCAATGTCGCGACCTTCGACCTCAATGCGCGGCACCTCTCCCAATACCAACGCTTCCTCACACACAGTCATTGCGCCAGCTACAAATGACTCCCCGACACGCTCGTCGCAACAACCACGGCGAGGCACGGGCTTTGAGAGCAGCTTCCTTGAAGCTGCACCCATGGACCATACCGTCGCTCCCGACGACAACGTTTCCGAAGCCGCTGTGAGGCAGCACCTGAAAGATGTCGAGTCGAGCTTCCTCCCGGTGCTTTCTCCCATCCCAACAGCCCCCTCCAACGGCGAGCCCGCAACCGACGACACATTTCTCTTTGACTCGCCTCAAAAGGTCGACCTGCCACCCCTCCAGCCCGTCCACCACAGCGAGGAGCCAGACACCACCACCGTCAGCAACACCACCTCCAACCTTGAGGCATTTGACTCGTCCCCTACTGCGGCCGCCGCTGCCCGCACCGTATCACGCGCCGTGAGCATGGCCAGCAATCCCACGCTACAGATACCCGATACAGAAGACAACAATGGCGCAGTCGGCGACGAGTCGTTTGCCTCGAGCGCGGACCACAATGACAGTCGCTGGTCCCAATCTCAGCGGACTGATCGTCTTGATGCTGGTAGCACACCAGGATTTGCGCTGCGTACCAAGCGTCCAAAATACTTGCGCAGCCGATTTGGTAGTCAGCGATCCTCGACCTCTTCCTTCATCACTAACGCTGAGTCCTTTGATGACGGTGATCTCACCTCGAACCACGACATCGATTTGGCGCTGCAGTCTGGTGGCGTCATGCCCTCCATGGGAAGGCCACCATTACCGGGCCACATGATGCCACGCACAGTCAGCATTGGCAGCATCGTCTCTGGTATGGGCATGGATGAGGATTTTGGTGATCTGTCCCAGCCGCTAGAGTCTTTGCCCGAGATCGAGAGTCCTATCCGAGCTAAAAGCTCTCGATTTGACCCGCTCAAAACGCCCAAGCCCTCAAGAGAGAACCTAAACGCCGCCCCGACAGACACCGTCATCGCGCAGCATGTGAAAAACGTCCACGTCCCAGAGTCACTGGCCAAGGAGTATAAGTTTCGATCTGGCCTGGAAACCCCCTTTCGGCCGACGAGTAACAATGCAGGCGCTGGCACGATACGTAGTGGCAAAAGTCTTACCCTCAAAGAGCAGAGCAGCACAATCGAGAAGCTTTCAAAAGAAAATTTTGACCTGAAACTCAAGGTCATGTTCCTGAGCGATCGTCTGGACAAGCTATCAGAGGAAGGAGTCAAGGAAATGATTTCAGAGAATGTCGAACTCAAAACAACTTTGGCCGTGCTGCAGCGTGACAACAAAGTTCTACGAAAACGCGTCAAGGAGCTCGAGAAGCGCATTAAGGAAGACGAAGAGCGACCTAGCACCGGTGGATCCAGCAACGACCAAGCAAGCCGTCTCAACGAACAGGAAACCTGGGAGCGCGAGCAGGAGCTCATTTTTCTTCGGGAACGCGTTGAGACGTACGCTACAGAGATTGAGAAGCTTCGAAGCGAACGCATGAATAAGGAGTCTGAAAAGAAGAAGCTTGCCGATATTGTTAAGAGCCTTAGCGAGCGTGCTGGCGAAAAGATTGATCGTCAAGAAGAAGCAGACGTCTGGAGAGACCTGCTAGAGCAGGAAACCGCCCATCGCGAGCAGACAGAGGACGACAATGTGAAGCTACGCGATGAGGTTTTCAGGCTAAAGAAGGAAATGGCTGCCATGCAAAGTGGCCACACTACCAACATCTACAGCATTACCAAACGTCAGCGCGATCGTGCAATCTCGCCGAACAAATCGGCAGATGTAGAAAGCTCAAATGCTGGTTTTAGCGCTGCTAGCACTCTTGTCGACGAACTCAGACGAGAGAGCGAGAAGCTGCGCCATGAAAACGCAGAATTGCGCCGTGAAGTCGGCGCGCAGACTTCGATGCTGACATCACGCAACCGCGAGAAGGATCGTCTACAGCAGGAGATTGAGGATCTCAAAATCTCGCAAGGCCGTAGTGGTGCCGCCTCAACCGCCGACAGTATTCTTGAACGCTCCGCGTCCAGAGCTGGCGCTCGTTATGAGTCTCCCTCCCACGTGAGCGTCCGTACTCTGCCCACCGCAGTGGAGGATGCCGAGCGCGAAGACTTGGAGGACAGGCTGGCAGAAGCCAGAGATCGCCTGAGCGAAGTCAAAATGCACAACCAAGAACTGCAACGCGAGCTGGACTCTTGCATGAACGATTTCGAGATGGTGGTCACCGGAAAGCGCGAGGCGGAAAATGCGGTCGTTTCTTTGCAAGAAGAACTCGATGTCGCCTTGAATGACTTGGTGGCACTGCAAGCTGAGCGCGATACCGTTCTTCAAGACTACGGTGAACTGGAAGAAGAGTTCAATAGGCTGCGTGACGAAGCACAGATAGAAGTCGACACAATGGATGAGGAACTCGCCCTAAGGGCTAGAGAAATTGATTCACTGCAGGCTGATCTCACCGACCGCGCCGAAAATTTTGACGCCTTACAATCCGCGATGCGCGATATGAGCACCTCACTTGTCGGTTTGGAGGATGAACAAAACAAAAAGGTTCGACGAATCCAGCAGCTTGAGGCTGAGGTCGAGTCTTCCAACCGCGAACTGGAGGCATACGAGCTGAAGCTCAACGAAGAATTAGAAAAGAACCGTCGTCTGGCGGTGCAGCAAGAATCTTCTCAGGGCGAAATTGCCTTTTTGCGCGAGGAGCAGGAAGCCGACAAGATTCGTATCGGCGATCTTGAAGCAGCAATTGCCAACGCTGAGCAAAGCTTGCGCGATGAAAAGGACAGAGCCAAGGAACTCGACGAGCGGCTGCAGCAAGAGCGCGCGCAGCGCGAAATGGTGGCGAACCAGGAGAAGGAGGAGGTACAGCAGTTTGTTAATGAGCTAAACCGCGAGGCCTCTTCTGCTCAAGATGAAGCCCGAAGACTGCGTAAGAGCTTGTCTTCGCGCGAAGTCGAGGCGACTGCCTGGAAGGAGCGCCTGCAGGAACTAGAGAATAACTTGCGCGTCACACTTGGAGATCTTAACGGCACACGATCGTCTCTCCTCGGATCGATTGCTAGGATCCAACGAGACTTGGAGAATACTGTTCGGGAACTAGACCTTGCCAAGGCGTCAGTCGTTGAGAAAGACCGCCTCATCAAGCAGCGTGACTCGTTGCTTGAATCGCTCGGGTTGGAAAGCCAGAAGACCGCCGAGCTGCTGGAGAAGGAAAGGCTCGCCCATCGACACACAAAGTCTGACTTTGAGACATTCCAACGGACACATCAGCATCTGTCTCGCACTGCCAGCACGCAGGATGTCCGCATCGCCGAGCTCGAAAGCACGCGTGGCCAGGAGCGACGCAAGCTGGCGACGCTGGAGCAGAACGCACGCGAGCAGCTGATGGAGCGCAACGAGCTTCTGCTGCAGCTCTGGAAACGCCTCAGCGTCCTGTGCGGCCGCGAATGGGCACACAGCCACACCTTGGTTGACAAGCAAGCCGTGCCGAGCGTGGAAGTTGTCTCGAGCCGCCTGCCAGGCTTTACCAAGAACCTGATGGCCGCGATCAAGATGATTGAGAACATGCTCAAGTCTTTCGAGTCCAAGATTAACTCGGTGGAGCGCGATCTCTCGCGCGAGTATCAGGCGCTGGAAAATAACCTCGAGTCGCGCACCAAGCGGCTCGACCGCGTTGAAACGCTGGTACGCACGCAGATTGCGGCGGGCGCCATGGGCTCCATGACGTCGCAGGAGCTCAAGGGCCGGCTGTCGCGCGTCGAGTACGCATACCAGAAGCTCAAGGTTGAGTACGAAACGCTCAAGACGGCCACGAGCGTACGTGCGCGCGCCGCGGCGCACCACACCGGCAGCGAGTCGCCCAGGTCCGGCAGCGCGGGTGGTTCGCCGTCGCCGGCTGTCCACCGCGGACCCGGCGAGCGCGACAAGGAACGTGGAGGATCGAGGTCCTCCAGAGAAAGTCGCATTCCTGCGATGGCTCATCACCGCAGTAGCCAGGCGACACCGACCTCGGCCGGCGGGTCGGACGCGGCGGCTCTCGTTGAGCTGCCTAAGGGAGGTAGTGAGGGTGCGAGCGCGGGCGTGGGCGGCCCCAAGGACACGTCCCTGATGATGCGGCTCAAGGCACTCGAGTCAAAGCTAAGCAGGGAGCGGGAGAAGAGAGACCAAGAGAGGGACGCGGCGAGACAGCGCCTTGGGGACCTGGAGGAGGAGAACAAAGGCCTCCGAGGCAAGATTCAACGGAGGCAGATGGCGGAGTAGAGGGCGGCTTTTGCAAGCGTGAAAGCCGCGTGCATTTTGCGGCGTTTTCTTCTTCTTTCTGCAACAAGAGCCGGAAATTCATTCCTATTCTTACTTTTTTTCGTGTTTCTGTTGGCATTGTTATACGCCATACTTTGTCATTTGGGAAAAGGCATCGGCTGTTTGAGCTCGTCTGCTTTTTTTTTTGTTTCCGGTCCTCGGTGGCCATTTGTAAAAAAGGGTTCTTGTTATGATACACACTGGGCATACTGCGCGAAAAGAAGTACAAAAAAAAAAAAGGACGGCATCGTTATTTGTCTTGGGAAAGCGGGTTTCTACTGGTTTTGCAGCAATTTTGTTCTTTTCTATCTACTTTTTTGAATGAGAATCCCGCGTATCCGTTGCGGATATGCTTTCAGCACGCTTTCCTGCTTTGCTCCTCATTCGCAGTTTAACCTGCTGATGTTTTTACGCGTAAAGCAGAAATTTATCATGTGTACCGAAGCAGCCCAAAAGTTTTGACACCGTCAAGGTATTGTTGATGAGTGCCTGGAAGGCGTTGAAGTGCGGAGTGTAACTTGATCGGCCTGGAGCTTGGGGGCGGACTTCCTAATCGGGAACCCCCGCGCCGGAGCTGTGTATAAGAGCAACCCAAAGTTGCAAGACCGCAAACCTCTACTCCTTTGCTTGTAGCATTGCGATTCGATCAATCTAAGCATCACAATCGTTCCATATTTTGTCTTTCATTGCATTCTATTCCCATTGTTCTCTGATATACAAGACCATGCTGCGATCTTGCGTGACCAAATCCCAACGCCGCGGCCTGGCCACCGTTGCCGCCGGCGGAGCGGCAGCCCAAAGGTCCTCCAAGAAGGAAGGAGACATCTCTGACGCCTTTGTCTCCCTATCTGGCGTCAAGCGAGATCCCTTGCCGGACCGCTTCCGGCAGCTCAAGTGTGACTTGGTCCGCGGCCGGGAGAAGCAGATTACGGAGAGCTGGAACCGCTTGCTCCGGGACTTGAAGAGAGAGAATGAGACAATTGCGCAAAAGGGATCGGATGTGGTTCCGCAAATTGAATTTGCCAACCTCGAGAGTGGCGTGCGCGGCCTCGAGGACGAGATCAAGAAGCGTGGTGTTGTGGTTGTGCGAGGCGTGGTGCCCGAGGCCGAGGCCAGGGCTTACAAGGAAGAAGTGGAAGAATACGTCAAAAAGAACCCGTGGACTAGAGGTATACTTGCTACTCACCCAACTGGCATCAGAGTTGATTGACTCTGATTCTTGCGTTGTCGTTTTATCATGCATGACTTGCTAATACCGTCCGACAGCCTTTCCGGCCGACAACCCCCAAGTCTACGAACTATACTGGTCCGCGCCGCAGCTCAAAGCGCGCGCGCACCCCAACTTTATGCGGGTGCAGCAGCATCTCATGTCCGGGCTCTGGCACGCCTCGGACTCTGCGAGCCCCATTTCCGTGGCCTCGCCGCTCTCGTACGCGGACCGCCTGCGCATACGGCAGCCCGGCGACGCGACCTTTGCGCTAGGCCCGCACATTGACGGCGGCAGCGTCGAGCGATGGGAGCCAGAGGGCTACGGGCGCGGCGGTGGGGTCTACGACGCCGTGTTTGCGGGCGCTTGGGAGCGCTACGACCCGTGGGACGCGAGCGGCCGCGTCGGCGCCGTGAGCAACCTGTACGACGGGCTCGGCGCGTGCAGCATGTTTCGCATGTGGCAGGGGTGGCTGAGCATGAGCAGGACGAGGCCGGCCGAGGGCACGCTGCTGGTGAATCCGCTGATGCATCGCGCGACGGCATATGTGCTGCTGCGGCCGTTTTTCGAGGCGGTGGATGAGGGGGAGGGGGCGGCGGCCCGCGGCGAGGCGTATCTGGACGAGAGCAACTGGAGAATGGTGGGGGAGGAGGGTATGACGAGCGAGTTGCAGGGCGCGAGCCCGGGACATGGCCAGGAACTGACCGACGCGCTGCATCCGCATCTGGAGCTCGACCGGACCATGGTGCACGTCCCCGAGATTAAGCCCGGCGACTTTGTTGCCTGGCACTGCGACAGTGAGTATCCGTAAAACCGCCCCCCGCCCGACGGATCACAGCTAACAAGATGTTTGCCCCTCTCAGCAATCCACGCAGTCGACAAGCTACACCAGGGCACGTCCGACTCGAGCGTGCTCTACATACCCATCTGCCCGGTGACGGCGCTCAATGCGCAGTACGTCGCGCGGCAGCGCGAGGCCTGGCGCCGCGGTATCCCGGGCCCGGACTTTCCCGGCGGCGAGGGCGAGGCCCGGCACAGCGGGCGGCCGATGGAGGAGACGCTCCGGCAGTGGGCGGGCGTTGATGCTCTGCGCTCCATGGGCTTGGAGAAGCTGGTGCCCGCGTCGGACGCGACGGCGGGACAGCGCGAGGCGGTGGACCAGGCGAATGGCATTCTTGGATTCTGAAGAGGATGGGAGAACAAGGGAGGGAAAGAGGGAAGAAGGTGGGAAAAAAAAGAGAGGAAGAAAGAAAAGTGAAGGGCTGGCGCGGAGAGGTGGGCCCGGGCCGGGCCGTGATTGGCGAGCGGGTTGGCGGAGAAGCAGAGCAGTCCACGTCGGACCGTTCCCATGCTGGAAATGGCTGATCCATAGCAGACATTCGGACTTTGCTTTCGAAATGTAAAGTGCTCAAAATTCTCCTCCGTTTGATTCGTACAGCGTTGTGTCGCAGCTGTCAGCCAAAGCCTTGTGCAATGAAAGTGTGAGACGCCTCCAAGCCCGGCGGGGGGGCTGAATCATGCAGTATATCAATCAGTAAGAGGGCAGTTTGGCATAATCACGGCGAGGACGGCAGCAAAAATAGAGAGTCTCAGTATTGGGAGAGGGTGAGCTTTTAAACGGCCAAATTTAAAACAGAGTTGTGATTCTCGATGTGAAAATAATAATGAAGCTTAAAGCTGGTGTCGCGAATGGTGTGTCCTTTTGGTGACCCTTTCGGCGACAAGCTATATAAAGACAAGCCCGAGAGGCTTTACGCTTAAGAAGATAATGCGCTCATTCTTGGCAAAGCCGCTCCACACTCTCAGAAGTCTACTATGATGACTTGATTGTACTATTCGTATGCGAGCATGGCGCTGGTGTCGCGAGCTCCAAGGTGGGCTGGCCTTGTATACCATGTCATGCAAGGCATCTGCAGCTACGGGGGCCATCAAGCGAGAACAGAATCCCCGATCTGTCTAACTATACACCGGGCCGAGTCGTGAATTAAGACCAGAAAAGGTATGTTCCAGCGAATGATCCGGCGACGAACCACGAGTGTCCATAGCTACTGTGCCTGGCTGCTATAGGCTAGGCGTAGAACTGAATATTCATCAGCCAAAGAGCTTGTGACAGGTTGTTCGAGAGAAAGTGAGAGCAAGACTTGCAAAGCAAGATCTACCGGTCTTAGTGGTGTCAAGCAAATCAACAGCTCGGTCATCGCAACCCCTAGTCTGCGAGGACGAGCAACATCCTGTACTGCCGCCTCGTGAAACAAACACGCCTCGAACAGATCATTTTCAGCTGGTTCATTGGCAATTCTACCAGTGCTACACAAGGGGCTGACCGGTCGGCTTGCTCCAAGTGTCCGAGTTGTAACAGTCAGCCATGTCAGCTTAGCAAGGCTGGCCCCCGAACGACCGACTGGTCCCTTTTGCGCCTGATCAACCACTGCGGGGAGACCATCCTCGACGTTCCTTGTCCTTCCAATTAGTCAAAAATGTCTTCCCGATGCCGCATTCACAGTTTAAGCGACGTCGTGCTACTGCTGCTGCCCAATGACGATGCTAGCAATACTATGCGGGCTTCTGGAGTAAACGGAGTGTGGCACAACCTAACAAGGTGAGGAGTTGCCGTGATGTGTGGATGGCACCAGCGTCGGGCTGAAGGGAAAGGAGGGGCAACTACATATAAGCCGCTTGTATCAGATGCCTGGGTATAATAGGACTGGGAAACAGCTAGAGAAGAAGGGTCTGAGAGGCAAGAACTGGTCATTTTGTTTTATATAAAAGCCCTAATCATCCCAAGCCTCGTTGCATCAACATTTTCTGCACTTGATATCCTTCACTTACACGCGCAACGCACTACCGCAACCCGTCACCATGGACTTTTACGATTTTTCCATAAACCAGGCCATCGAGGCCCTTGACAGCTTGGTCGTGATTCTCAAAAAGGCCGAGACGGCACCCAACTCGGCCTCGTTCCTCCAGGCCCGCATCCACGAGGACATGCTTCCTCTCTCGTTCCAAGTCTACTTCATCACCAGCCGCAGCATCATGCTCGGAAGCCGCCTCGTCGGCGAGGAGCCGCCCAAGACCGAGGATGACTTGAAGAGCTTTGCCGAATTTTACGCGCGCATCGCCGAGGCCCGCGCCGCGCTCGCAAAGCTCGACAGGGAGACAATCAACAGCCGCGCGAATGTACCCCTCACTTTTGGTCTCGGCCCCGGCAAGCCTGCCCATGCCAACGGCATCATTTACTGCACCGGCTACGCCATCCCCAACATTTACTTTCACCTGACCACAATCTACAATATTTTGCGCAAGGAGGGCGTTCCCCTGGGCAAGGTAGATTTTCTCCGCGTTTTTCTCGGCAAGCACATTGATTATTAAATCAACGTGAGAATCAACGCGGGGCTGCCATATAACGGCCATATATTTTCGGCCCATGTTTGCCCTGCATAAGGCGTCTTGAACAAGTCTAGTGGCGTGAGACGAGTTAAAAAGTTTTAAAAGTTGATTATTCGAAACATGTCAATTGATTGAAATCCTTAAATATCAACATGTTTTTTTACGCCCTGTGTGGCTGATTTACTTAAAGTTCCGCTGTGCTGCTAGCAATGTGCCCATGCTGGGGCGAGGATTTTAGTCAGCCAGGTGCCATGCCGAAGCCGCCAGGCTGCCGTTGGCGTTAATTCTTGTCAACCTTGCAAAGACGTGAACTTGGTTAGCCCGTGCAAAATTGAGGACTCATCATGGCGCACCCATTTGTCTGGGCTCTGCGTATAGTCCACGCATTCGAGGTACGTTTTTATTCCCGGGGAATCTCGTTCTGCTCATTTGGCCGTTTGCTAACTTGGCTCACAGGATCGCATCGTCGCTGCTGTACGTCACCACCTCCCTGCACGACTCTTCCCCCCTCACGGGCCTTGCATTTTAACAAAGTTGCAGATTCTTCGTCGTCCTGGTTTCCATCGCGGTGTCGGCCGTATTCACAAGTACATTGACGAGAAACAACACGGTCGCCACCCACACGAGCCGCTCGCTCCTGGCGAGGCCACCGGTACGCAAAAGGATACCGTTGCAGTAAAGGCTGTCTGTCGCATTCTGTTTCTAACGAGTTATTGATAGCGGACCCCAACGCTTCCGACCGAGGTCGTAGCTTTATCAAGCACTTTGTCGACGAATTGCGTAACCAAGCGCGTGGCAAACCGACCGATATTGACAAGACGCCTCACAAATGAGGCAGCTATGGATTTCATCGTCAAGCCTGGTCTATGATGTCATATTGCGGCCAAGTCTGGGAAATGATTCTTGGAATTGGTCTTCAACAGACGCATCTTTTCTAGTTTGCGAGCCAATTTCAAAATGATGATGCGAACCACGACGAAAATGCACCATCGGTACGGGCTTGTCATGAATGCGTCGATCGAAATGGGGTCCGCCCCTATCCTCCCATAATAACACCGACCGTTTCAAGACCGTCCAAAATCTTTTCGGTAGCTGAAGACTTTTTTACCCTGCGCAGCTGGATTTTGTCCTGAACGGCATGCTTGCAGCGCTTGTCGCGCCGCCTCCAGCAGTCCTTGCAGAAGTTGGGATCGAAACAGCGCTTGCAGTGCCAGCATAGCATGCCCTGCTTGAGCTTCGCTTTGCATCCATCGCATTTGAGGCCAAAGCCAAAGTCGCCGTCTTGGTCTTCATTTTTGAGGTCTTTGCCGGCTTCCAACTCTTCCGGAGCAACCTCATGGTGGCAGCGCTTGCCGCCGTCATGGCACGATTTGCAGATGGTTCTTGCGTCATGCTTGCATTCATCACAGCAGTATGCAATGTCCCCGGGTACCAGGCCTGTCTCGCAGCCTTGACAGATCAAGGGCTCGAGCATCTCACGCCTCCTGACATGTTGTGGAGTATATGCTGCTATCAGTTGTGGCAGCGTCTCAGGAGGTCGAGAAACCCCGTATGGGAGATGGATGGGTTGCAGGCCGTGCTGCGGCTGCTGAGAATAGGCTGGCGGTTGTGCACTAGAATTTGAGTCATGCAAGGTATATGCAGGTGCAATCTGCGCCGCGTTTTGATGATGCAACATGGACGGATGATTTCTCTTCTCCTCATCTATCAGCCACATGGCAAGACAGAATTCATCGCAAGAGAATTTGCCATCGCGCGTGACATCTGCCTGTTCCCATATATTCGACAGCACATGCTTGTGCAAGTGACTGTCGAGAAAAACAATGGCAGCCTCGATACCGGTGAGATATGGCTTGCCCTGACATTCTTGCATGAATATCTTTTCGTAGGCCGCTCTGTTCTCGGCCGGCATGGCTCCTGCTGGTGCAGCGCTGTGTGCTGACGGAGACGCGGGCCGCAGTGACAGGTGATGTGGCCTGCTCATAGCCCCTCGTGGAGTATCGGAATTCAATTGCGTACTCGTCATTGTTTTGGTATGGCTTCAATGTTGGCATTCAGTTGGATGAATGGGGTCGCTGTTTCGCTGTAAGAGTCGACGCGTGCAGCTCCAGTCGCCCTGGCCTGTTTAAATACCAAAGTATACGACATCATTGACAGCGGCCTCTATAGAATCCCAACTGCCGACTTTGTCTCCAACTTTTCCGAGTTGAGCATTTTGCTTGCAGGTCTGGCGCGGCTGAGAAAATTGAGCGTAGCCAGATTGGGCGAAATGAGTGCAACAAGAGGTGCGCCTCTCGGGCGATGTGGAGATATGACTTTACTGATCAGCGCCCTCTTGACTTTTGGAAATGCGGTCGCCGCTCTTTTTGGGAGTATATGATAATTAAGAGTATTCCCTAGCTGGAAAGGCTGCTGCTCTCTGCCGACCGAGTACCTCGGCTGAACTTGGCTGTCCAGCTGACGAGCGAGTCTCTGATATTTCCAGTGTAATGGTGTTTGGTGTTTGTTGGTGTAGACAATCAGAGAGTATGACCGACATGTGCTGCACATTTCAGGCATTGAAATACAGTATGCTACGGAACAAGAGAGTTTTGAGCTGATATTGTTGGATTGAGAAATGATTGGGCTAGATGTATGACTTTTGTGTCATGTGCTTCCTGGCGTTCTGAGATTTGGGGGGAAGTCACATTAAGAGGCACGCAGGCTTGTGCAAGGAACTTGTGGCAATTGGTAAATATATTGGTATAGCTTCTAGCAAAGCCTATATCTTGTTCACGTGAATCGTCGTCAGTTTTTGACAAGCAGTTTCATCGACAGGGAGCTAAAGCTAATACAGGCGGGTACATGTATTTCAGTTGTCATCAACATCTCTGCAAGTCCATTCTTTTTTTTGGCTCCCGAGGCCCTTAGGCAGCCGTGGCGAAGCCGATGCGGGCGTTGGTGGTGTCGTAGACGGAGTAGTAGTTCTCCAGGAACTTTTGGCCAATAACGGTGTTGACCGAGCCGGTGCCGCCGTTGGCGATCCAAGAGTAGTACTTGCCGGCCGGCAGCCCAAAGAAGCCGTACTGGCTCGCGGGGACCAGGTACTGCGCCGGGGTCAGGTTGTAGGTGGTTGCGCCAATCTTGATGCCAAAGTTGGCCGTGGGCTTGGTGGTGTACGAGACGAGGCCCGTGTTGGCGTCGGTCTTGCCGCCCGAGGCCGACAGGTACTTGGCGTAGGCGGCCGAGGGAATGTAGATGAGCGTGGTGCCGGTGTCGACGATGCCGGTGGCGCCCGACGCGAGCACGGTCGAGCCGTAGGTGAAGCTGGCGATGCTGACGCCCCAGTACGCGGCCGCGCTGCCGCTCTTGAGCGTGGGCACGTAGTTGAGGGCGCCCGTGTACTTTGTGCTGTCCACACCGCCGAGCGTCAGCTCGCCGTTGTTGTCGCTGGTGTCGCTGCCGGCCTCGGGCTTAAAGTAGACACCGAGCACCTCGCTCGGGATGGACCCTTGCTTGTACAGGTTGTCGAGAAACGTGGGCACGGTGGCGGCGTTGGACACGGTGTTGCGCGTCAGACCCACGGGGCCGAGGCCAAAGATGCCGTCGACGCCGTTGAAGCCCACGGCGCTCTTGGCGGAGCCGACAGACTGCGACTTGACGGTAAGGCCGGCAAAGGTGACCTTGTCGACGTACTCTTCGCCCGAGAACTGGCCGGAGCCGTAGCTGACGCCGACGGTGCCGCCGGTGTCGTTGCCGGTGGAGTAGGGGACGTAGGATTTCTGAGCGCCGGTCCAGGTGTTGGAGGCTGTTTGATTTGAGAGTTAGCATAAGCAAAAAGAAAAAAAGAGAGAAAAAAAAAGAAATAGGGCAGTCATAAAAGAGGTGAGAAAGTCCGTTTTCGAGTTCCCACTTACACCCAGTGTCGACAATCAAGTCCCAGCTGGCGCTACCAATGGCGACAGAGGCAATGTAGCTGACGTCGTCATTTTCAGCAGGACCAGAAGCGTCAATGTTTCCCAAGGTACTCTCAGCACCGTTGATCTTGTTGATGCGGGCCAGACCCTTTGCAATGAGGCCGTTTGGGGAGCTGACTTTGACGACGTGCTTGACAGGCACGGCCGAGGGCTTGGTAGCCCGCTCAACCGGCGATGCCAGGATGGCCTCTGCGGCCACGAGAAGAGAGAGGGAAGTGTAACGCATGGTTTCTAATAGCTTCAGTTATTTGTAATTTGTGTGCTTCTTGTAGTTGTGTAGGAAAGTTGTGTTGATGTCTTCTCTTGTTTCAAAATCACGGCCGAGGCTGCCCCCTTTTATAGACAATCCCGTCTCTTCATCAGAGCAACTCAGTCGTCCTCGTGATGATGATGATGATGCCAAAAAGCTTATTACTTTGATATTATCTCGAGCATGCTCATTCTTTGCCGTTCTACCCGTTCAAAGCGAATAGCATCTACACAACTGCTGTGGCGTGCTAATCGGTTAGAATGGTTGGCGTGTGATCGTGTGTGTACAACCTCTTCAAAGAGTGTACCTTTTTTCCACCTGCCGAATCGGGTAACTCAATCTCGAGGGGGTCGGCTACGTCTGCTAAAAGGGCCGCGACATTTGCTGACAGGAGCTCGCCCAGTGGCGTTACGCGACGCCCGGCGCTCGTTGTGCGCTCTGACGAATTATGGCGCAAGAAAGGGTTCATTCTCTAGGGGACAATGGGTGTAGCTTGCTTTTCCAAAGAGGCAGGTATTGCTGCAAATGGGGTCACAGTCGTGGAAATGTAAGCTTTTTGTCATTGAGCCCCAGAAATAGCCCAACCCTCCCTCCCCCTTGGTCACGTCTATCGGATCCGATATGGCGTTGCCAAGCCCGGCCCCTGGTGGGACGATGAGAAGCCGGCTTCAGAAACGGCGAGCTCCGAGGTTGACCGTAATGTCTCTTCAACGCACTGCCAAAGTGGTTGGCTATGGCCAACATGCAGTCTATTGTATATTTGCTCACAGTACTAGGCCGATGGGGTTCTCACCACATTATGGATTCAAGTTGAGTTAGTGTTCAAGTTTTGAATAAGCAACACATGATTGGCAGTTGACGCTAGTCTTTAGCTTTGGCCAATGTCAGATTTCTGTAGTAGTTGCTCCGTCCAACCGACAGCGGCTACACAGTTGCTATGCAAGTGGAAAGCTCAAAACAGAAACTGTTAGAAGAGTTGTGCCTCCGTTTAATGCCTTTTGAAACCTTTCGGCACTTGAGGATCGGCGCTATGCAGGATGCAGCAGGATTCCGCACGCACTAAAATCTGTGCGCACGACCATTGCTGCCACTGGAATAACCGGCTCTGGATGATGCCTTTCAACACGCAATATGGAATCAATATTTACAATTAAGAATTAGTCATTCTTGTACCGCATTATCCGTTCATTATAGGCTCTTTGATTGAATCCGGCAAGGCAGGCATCTTCAGCCTCTAACTCAGCAACAGCCTTGCAATGGCGGCACTCTACAGCACATGTCATAGACAACATTAGGGAATAAAAAATGCACTCTCTTGTGTATATTTTTGGGATTGGCACGAGAAATCGTCTCCTCAATGGTCGACTCAGTGGCTCACTTGTAATTTAGTCGTCCCTCGCGTCGCCTTCACGTGGGAGTGGTCCAGCAGTGGACGGGGTCTCAAGAACCCGACGCATTAAGTTGTTACATATTCCCCTTGTATCGGCCCAGAGAGCCGGCAAAGGAGAATATCTGGGATAGTCTACATCATTTCTGGGGTATTTCGGGAACAAAGAGGGTCATCGTATCGAGTCACTCCTCGGTCGAGTAAGCCAAGTCCCTTGGCACTAAAACCCGCGAGCGCTAGTTATAATATGTGTTCAACTTCCCCGCTCATGATGCAATTCCAGGAAAACGTCGTCTTCATTAAATACAAGTCAAGTCTAGCTTCGCCGCCTAATACTAAAACTATAGTCTCTCAAAAACTCCATGGCATCTGCATCTAGTAAGTGTAGCGGAAATCAGGGGCTGCGTCATCCTCGTGACTCTCGGGCACTTTGCCGCCATTGTCCGCTCTCTTATTGGCAACCTTGAAGGCCAAGTCGCAGCAGAGAACAAGCAAAATGTTGAGGGAAGCGCATGCAATGCATGCATACATGCCCGGCTTGTAGCCCGTGCTCTTGTCCTGCTCTCTAAAGATGAGGCTGCCGGCAATGCCACCGATGCCGCCAAAGCCAACGAGGGTGGCGCTGCAAAAGGCACGCTTCCACTGGCCGCGCAGGTTATTGGCCTGAAAGGACATGACGGTGGGAACGTTGCAGTTGGCGCCGGCGGTGACGAGAAAGACGCCAAAGTAGCGCACTCCGGCGTTGCTGTGCCAGCCCATGATGGGCAGGCCAATCAGGCACAGCACCATGTTGAAGATGATGAGCGGGCCGCGAAAGCGGAAGCGGTCGCCAATGTAGCCACTGAGAAACATGACGATGCCGGCAAAGACGTACGGCGGGGCGACGAGGCACTGGGCCTGGCCGACGGTGAAGCCCATGTTGCCCATGAGGATGAGGGGCAGCGTGTAGGCCAGGGCGTAGGTGATTGTGGTGGTGTTGAAGAAGAGCATGGCGTAGGCCCAGATTTTGGGGTCGAGCCCGTTGCGCACAAACTTTTTCAGCTCAAACTTGGACATGGCCGAGTCGCCGCGGTCCTGCTGGATGCGCGACACCACCCACCGCAGCTCGTCCTTGCTCAGAAACTTCCACGTCGGGCGGTCCGAGTCGGGAAAGTCGACGAGGAGCCAGTAGGCAACCGTGGCCAAGACGACGGTGATGAGTCCCTGGACGAGAAAGATCCATCTCCAGCCTGTGAGGTTTGCTTCTCCGTCTAGTTGCATAAGCTGGGCAAGAAAAACTCTTGTTAGTATATGATGGGTTGGGGAAACGAGGTTGCCGCCAAAAAGTCACCTACACCGTAGCAAAGAATACCGGAAAAGGCCGTGGCAACGCAGCCTACAATGTAAAAGACAGAGTATCGCTTGCCGACATCGTCTGTCCAATGCACCGTTAGCATGTGGCCGAGAATCCAAAGGGAAAATTACTGGATGTGGCCTTACATCGCGTGTACCAGGTGCTGAGCAAGTAGACAGCACTAGGGAAGAAACCAGCCTCGAAGATACCCAGGACAGCCCGCAGCGCGGTGATTTGAGCATGATTCTTGGTGAAGCCCATGCCCAAGGTAACGACACCCCAGAGAAAGGTGATTGTGGAAAGATGGTGACGAGGGCCAATGGCACGAATCAGGACGGTCGATGGGGGCTGGAAGACGATGTATGTGACGAAGAAGACGAGATTGGCAATGCCCTGATTTGAACAGTCAGCGTAATTTTCTCACTGATAAAAACAAGTAAATTTTTCCGAAAATTTCATCTTACATATCGGTAGCCAGTAAGCTCCAGCTCTTTGGCCATGCCGGCAATGTTGGCAGCGCTCATGTTTACTCTGTCCATCAAACTGACGCAGTACAGGGCACCGACAGTAAGGACCAAGCGACGATCGATGCGCTTCATGATGCCGCGCTGCTGCTGTTCAGTAAAGACAACATGGTCGCCGCTCGAGTCGCCGTCTGCCAGCCCACTGCCATGCTTTTCCAGATGAAAGACGTCGGGCGCTTCCTTTTCTGGCGGCGCCCCAGAAGGCATGCTCTCTTGCGACATGATTTCTTTTTTTTTTTTGTAAGTTGCAGATGATGAGCTTCCGGGGGGGAGCTCTGGGGCTGTTTCTAGACTGTTGACGATGGTGGGGGAGGGGGGAGGATGGTCACAAGAGCTGCACAAAGGGCGAGGCTGAGGAGGAAGCAGCGAGAGAGAGGGAAGAGCGAAAAGAAGAAGAACAAGTAAAAGAGAAGAAAGACAACGGAGAGGCTGTTTCGGCCGCCGCAGAGAACGATGCGGCGAGCAGCGTTGTCTTAATATAGCTTGTTTGCTCTGATGCCGGCCGGACGGGTGCAAGACATTTTCTCTCGTTAATTACCCCACACGCCATGAAGCTCGAGGCCCAGAATAGGGCCCAGAATTGGCCCAGAATAGGCCGCGCCACTCCCCCCCGTCGCTATCTAGACTCTTTAGATTGCGGGGAAGCCTGTAATAATATGCTTAAATTCGAAGCCAGGGCACGTTTTCGTGCGCCATCATGGTCAACGCTAGCTATTAAGTTTTTACTAGTTTTAGTCTGACGAGGTATGATGCTTGGCGCTGCAAACGTTTATCGCGGACCAAGTTGTTGCTTTCACCGCTGCTGATCGAAACTTGATCTCGGACCGTTGCACAATCTCCCCATGGCTCGTCTGAAACACGACTTTCCTATTTAAAAGAAAACCACAGGGGGGCCCCCCTCACCATGTCTTGAACCCCGTGGTGGAAACAAAAAAAAAAAAGAAGCCGTGGGAGCCTCCAAGCAAAAATAATGGCTGCGAGCTAACTGTGAATTAGTGACAAGCCACATTACCACCCCCCAAAAAACTTTGGACGGGCTTTAGCTTGGCCCGCGGACCCCCAACACCACACTCGCCCGACAGCCCGGAGCAAAGGTCAAAAAGTAGCCAAGGGCGCGCGCCGATCAGTAGCCTGATGTGGGGTACAAGATGGCAAATGCATCATGGCACCATGGGAAAACCATTTTATCTGGGGGCATTCCCGTCGTTGCGTCGCTAGTTTAGTACCCCGTTGCGGTTGGCCAACTTGTTTGCCAAGAACGAGAGACATCAAGGATGGGTCCTGTGCAGCACTGAGCCGAGGCCGACAATGGTATTCTTTGTTTCTTGATTGGCCAAGTCTGTTCTTGTCGATGTCGTTGCTGTATTCGAGGGCGGAACTGCCGTCTTTTTCGTCCGGGATGGCAATGTTATTCATGAACCAGTGGCTGAAGCTATCGAACCCAGATCAGCCCAGCTGGGGAGAGGCAGGCAATAGATAGCTGTCCCGCCATGGTGGTTTCGTCTCGAAGCTGCAGCCCTCATGTGGTCTGTGTACCGCGAGACAGACAAGTAATAGACCATGCAAACATTGACCGGTCAAGGGGGGAGGGGGGGGGGGGGGGTTCGACTAGAAGCACAACGTCGGCCACCTGTTTTGCAAGGCAAGCACAGACACTATGTGACCTACGGAACACGTCCGATGTAGCTTGATTTATAAATTATTACACAACACGCCAAGCTGTGACTTTGGTCTTGGCATGCGAAAAGGCTTTTGTAGATGAATGGCAGTGCCAGTTCCATGCAATGCAATCTCGATGCTAAAGAAACAGACACATCCTGCATGGTTCCGGCGAGACATCTGCAATCCAAATGAGCAGGGATGTCAAGATCTGCACAACTTCTATACAGTTCAGACCATGCTTTGCTCTTGTTTCTTTGATTGCAGTAGGGGTTTCGAGTATGCATGTCGTAAAAAGACGGCGCAATAAACCCCCGCGTGTGCATACCGCCAAACCACCAGCGTCTCTTGCGTCGTTGTCTCTCGAAATCTGATACTCTCGGAGCTCGGCCGAGTTATCTCGAGGCCTTTGCAATATCTTACTCGCAATTTGAAACCTGATCAAGACAAGCGCATCCCATCAAGCCCTTGTCACGGAGCATCTCTAAATAGCGGGCTCATACCTGCAGGCTTGGTTCCAATGCTACATTATGTAGCCACGTTTTTGACCGGGAGCAAGTATAAAAGCAGACATTGGATGGTCGTGCAGTCACCAACTTCGTGGGGACCAGAACTTGAGCGTTTTATTTTACCCCGTCGAAAGTGGACAATCCAATCACTGTCATCTTACCCAACCAACTAGCGTTATACATTGTGGGTAAGGTCTATCCAATATGCATGCATGCATGCATGTATGCATGTCCACGATACAGTCTTTCGCAAGCCCTTCTCGCCGTCGGCATTATCCATCTGTTGCAACTTTGTTCTAATAATATGCATACCTTCTGAAACTGTTGAGCCACAGTAGATCGATGCGCACAATTATAGCAACTGTCGCACTCGTACTTCCAAGCTCAAGGGCATAGGGCACAGGGCTAACCACCAAGTCTTGCCCCGCGATTAACCCCAGCAAGCGGATCATTGCACATGCAAAGCCCCAAACTATTTGCAATCGCCCTTAAGCTACCTTCCTATATAGGTAGGCACAATACAATAATCGATCTTTTCCGTTCGTAATAGCAATAAAGCCTGGCTATAATATTGACGCACCTACAATCTATATATTCTCCCCACCTCAGAATGTGCTCAATAATGTTTCCTCTCTTCCTTCTTTCTTCTGTCTTATTCTGTACAACTTTTGCTGTACAAATCTCTGGCTAGCCAGAATGCGTCGATTCATCCTGGCCGTCGTCGCTGCAGTGGCCGTGACCGCCTCGGCCTCTTCACTCGGACGGCGAGGCCAGCAGCTCAGGCCCTCGCCCAAAGTACTACACGACGAAAAATATTGCTATGGTCTTTACCCAAAGGGTACGCCCTGCCCGATAGAGGCTGCCACTTTTGACCAGCTCATCGACCATGATGATCCCTCTCTGGGCACCTTTAAGCAGCGCTATTGGGTCAATCCCGAATTCTACGCCGGACCCGGCGCACCAATCGTACTGTCGGGCCCCGGTGAGCAGGCGGCTGACAGAATGGTCTGGTACACGACCAACTTGACCCTCGATGGCACCTTTGCCCAAGAAATCAAGGGAGCCGCCATTGTGCTCGAGCACCGCTACTGGGGCGAGAGCTCTCCCTTTGACAAAATGACGACCAAAAATATGCGCCATCTCACCCTCGACAATGCAATGCGCGACACCACATACTTTGCCCGCAATGTCAAGCTGTCTTTTGACTTGGATGGAACATCCCATCCAGACAAGGCACCCTGGGTCTTCACCGGCGGTTCCTATCCCGGTGCCCTCGCCGCCTGGATCAACAAGCTACATCCGGGAACCTTTTGGGCCTATCATGCCGTGTCTGCTGTTGTTCAGCCCATCGCCGACTTTTGGCAGTACTATGTCCCCATCGAGGCCGCCATGCCGCGCAACTGCAGCAAGGACATGAAGCTGGCAATCAAATATGTCGACAAACAGCTCTCTTCAGGCGACCAAGCCCGCAAAGACGCCATCAAGGCAAAATTCGGTCTGTCGGGTCTGGCCGATGATGATTTTGGCTGGGCTCTTGCCGACGGTCTGCAGAGCTGGCAAGGTACGCAATTTACCACACCGCCCAACAAAATACCATTGTTCGACATGTGCGACTACATTGAGGGCGTGGGCGGCAAGAATGGCAGCGCAATCCATATCCCGGATGAAAATGGTGTCGGGAGATGTGCTGCCGTCGCCGGTCTTGCAAAGTGGTTCCGCACCGTTCGCATTCCCGGCAGCTGCCAGAGAAATTGGGGTGACTATTGGAAAAATGATTCACAAACAACCGAATGCTGGGATACGCATAATCCAAACAGCCCCTTCTTCACTGACCGCAGTGTTCGTAATGAGTGGAATCTCCAATGGCAGTGGATGTCGTGCAATGAGCCGTAAGTCATATGCCCTGATTCGTAAATTCGAGTCATTGCTATCACAAGCTGACCGAAATTTCTCTGCAGTTTCCAGCAATGGCAGGCTTCGGCTCCGGGTGATACAGGTCTCGTCTCCCGCCATGTGACCATGCAGTCCTTGCGAGATCAATGCGAGCGCTTCTTCCCAGATGAGGACGGGTACAGCTACGGCCTGAAGCGCGGCCGCACCACTGATGCCATTGTGCAGCGTACAGATGGCTGGAGCAATGTCAACTCGACGAGGCTGGTCCATGTCAATGGTGAATACGATCCCTGGCTGTCCGAGAGCGTGTCGTCGACCTTTAGACCAGGCGGTCCGCTTGAGTCGACGCCCGAAGTACCGGTTTTTGTGGTGCCCAAGGCGGCTCATTGTCCTGATCTCGTCATGAGAAATACCTTGGCAAATGAGCCGCTTCATGAAATAACTCAAAAGGTCATTGGTATAATTAGCGCCTGGGTGGATGAATTTTACGAGCAAAGAGGAATCTCCCACCCTGGATTTTAAGGACCTTGCATTTACCTAGTTCTTCTCCACCCCTGGCCACTCCTTGGCCCCAAATACCCGTCCTGATTTGGGACATTGCCAATAAAAGTATTGGGCACCATTGATAGTTTCTTGTTTCCAATCCTTCAGGTCCGTTTTTATTTCTTGGCCTTCTGGATTGCGGAAAAGGACCTTCTCCTCATATCCGTACGTTTGTATCCAATAAGAGATAACAGATTCAGAGGGACCGGGCTCCCTAAGAGCGGCATTGCGATTGGTAGTAAAACGCGATCGGCTTTTAGGCGAACGGCTTCCTTGCGTAGGCGAGCTAGCTGAAAGTCGAGAACGTTTTGGCCGCGTGCTATCCGTGTTACTATTCGAAGTGAAGCTAGACACAAAGCTCCTCGATGAATCATCTGTCACTGACGCAGTCGCATGATGGGCTGAATCATCCGAACTATCGGAAGAGGACTGCTGCTGTGGAGTTGCAGGTGCATCATCATGTTCTTCGTTCACTTCGCTATGCGTCTCGGCAATGTGTTGTTGAAGGTCATCGTGGGCGTCCTGCCATGCCCCAGTTTCTGAATCCTCGGGACTTCCATGCGCAAGATGATCATCCTGTAGCTGTACGTTGTTTTCCACTGTTGCAACTGGCTGTTGTTGCGATACTTTGGCTTTGGCTGCCTGAAGAAATCCCTCTCGACGTTGGCGAGCCAGATCCCTAGCATTTCTGAGAGCTGTAGCTCCTTCAATGAATGACTTCGGAGTATCCGTCAAGTTGAATGCCCTGACTTGCGTCATGTGGTACCCTGGCGGTTGTCCCTCCGCCGTCGGTGCAGTCGTGTGGTGTGTGTATATCCGAAGCGTGCCATCGTGGTAGGTAGAAGTGAATGTATAAGCGTTGCCGTGATAGGATGGGTTTTCTTGGGTTTCCTCGCCGTATGTCTGAAGGCTATGCATAGCGCGCGCGCCAAGGGCACCGTCCAGGCATGCTTGCCGCTTTGCGATGTCCGCACCCCCTCGAGGAGCCTTGGCTTCTAGAAAGAAGTTAGGCACTATCGGGGCACGTCCGTTAGTCGAAGGTATTATCGTTTTATTGAGGTCTTGCCGCATTGCCTGATCAACTTGATCTGGGTAGAGTCCATCGTATAAATCTGGCACCGCATCAACAGTACGCCCATCCGTCATTGTATCAAGATTAGTGAAAGGAATATTGCCCGCGCTTGGAAATTTATGATTTCCAAGTATCGTTGGTAGTATCTCCGACATTACCACGTTTTCGGCGAGCACCCGATCATTAGCTAGTGTGAAGGTTTTAAAGGCTGTTTGATCGAAACGGGATGGTGAAAGAGACCCGCGGGGAGCCGATAAAGTCCGCGTAATGTCATCCAAATTGTCAGGCTCTGGTAGATCGTTGCGGTAAAACTCATGCCCTTTAGGATATATACTACAATCAACGAGTTTCTGCTCGAAATCTCTGTCATATGCGGAGGATCGCTTGACCTTGGGAGGTCCGTTTGTTGCGTTTGTGGACTTGGTCCGTCGGGTCGATGGTACAGAGGAACGATTGGGGTTCATTTCTGCGGTCTGCTCCGGTTCGGGGTACTAGCTAGAGGTTAGTCAACAGTCTGTAGGTTGGTATAACTATATCAGGCCTACTCCTCGAAGATGGCCAAGATCTGGTCCACCGCGTCTCGCAAATCGAGCAAGAGTTGCGGCTGTTTTGATGATGGGAGCTGCAGGAGATCGTAGACTGTTGCGCCGGTCTTTTTCGCGTAGCGCACGAGACGTGAGCCAAACTTTTGACAGGCTGTCCCAGAACTCTGGTGGAAAGTTTGAGGCTACCTGCACCGCAGAGTCCGACTTGATCCTTTTCGCAGGAGGACTGTCTTGTGCGGTACCGTCTGGGTTGGGTCTTTTGCGATTTCGTAGGGCGGACATAGATTGCTGTGTATATATAGACGGAGAGGAAGACATTTGGATGATAATGTGTCGACGTGAACAGCGCCGACTTCTGCAGAGACGACCGGCGCGTAGAGATGGGAAACGATAGGGCGAGCAGGAATGCGGTTTGCGTGGTACGAGATGGGCGACACATGAGCCGTAACCAGCTGGACTCTTACAGCCCCCTGTGATACTTTGTGATCCGAGGCGTGCTGCATCAGAGTGGGCATTGTTTGGGGTGGAAATGGTGGATGATGAGGCGGGATGATCTCGCTTGGTGGGTGTAGTTCGTAGAACAAGTAGTACGGTGCCACATTGGGGCCACTTTCGTCAATTTGAAACCCATCGTTATCGTGATCCTGGAAACCAACCAAGAACAAAGCAGATTGTTAGTCGATCAAGATCGAGGGGCTGTGAGGCAGCTTGAAGAAGACGATGCAAAAGTGGGTCCGTGCTGCTGGCAAATAAGTCGTTTGAGCTCCAACATCATCAATACGAACACGCGCCCTTCATATATAACGATCTTCCACAAAGGCAATTGAATACTGCTGATGAAGCTCATGTTGTGTCAGCAACACTAGCTTGTAGAGACGATGCTATGGGGCACGCTTGGTAGCATTACTCCGCGCCGGCCCGCCTTTTGTTACTCGAAAACTTTGTATGCGTTTTGTAGGCTGTGTGACGTCTATGCGACTGCCCTATTGCCAATTTCTTCAATATTTATAGGATTGAGCGCAGGTTTTGCAACGATATTCCTTTTTACTGCAAATTTCCGTCTGCTGTACTTCCTTGTACAACGACGCATCGGCTGGCCGCTCGACCCCAGAAGCAAGTTCTGTACCTCTTTGGCCTAAAAATTTTTTTTCCCTGCGCAGAAAGGATTTGATTGATCCAGGCTGGTTCACAAGGGGGACAGGCGCGGCTGTTGCCGCATTTTGCTTGCTGTCAGATCACGACTGTGTGTGGCTGAGGAAAGAACATGATTGAAGGCCCGAGTGACCGCTGAAAACAAGGTAGTCTAGAAATATGTATAGTGTTTCAATGGCCATGATTTCAATCTGTCCTGACGAATAACGAATTCGTAAAGTTGCTCAGGTGAGGTGATGAGCGCCAACCGCAAGATACGAAGCTTATGGCATTCCTGATCACGGAAATGGTAGTGGGCCTAAACTTTTCGAATGTTCTCTCACGGCATGGCACATAGGCAAAAGATATGTCAGATTGCAGTTTTTGGTAACAATATAGTCTCGTTGCCATCACAGCCGCGACCAATTCCACATCACTTACACCGCAGGATATCGTGCGCAGCGTATGGGATTGCGGCTTCGCTGTAGCAGCATAAACCCAAAGCAACTCACGTTTCCACTGCTGTATATTCGCGATTCGCGGGGCTTGGCTGGGCATTTTGTTGAGCTATACGCTCAAAAAACGGACGCGCCACAACTTTGTAGCGCCTATACCCCCTTATATCACAACACATTTCGGGGTCGGCGACATTTTGTCAAGCCCTTGCGTGATCCATCTGGGCCAGATTTTGGGATAGACCAAGAAATCACAGACGGCATGAAAGCATTGGTCGGGGTATGAAGCGCGTAGCCTATGTAGACATCTAAAAAAGATAACTGGTAGAGAGTAAATGGTATCGCTCGAGCACAACACTCTCACCAGGGGTTGCAAAGATCCGCGCCGAGAACTCCTCAAAGGGCACAACTGCTTTCGATCAACCTATGCGATTAGTGACAGTTCACTCAATAGAAGATTTGATGGTGATAATGATGGCTTGTAGAGGAAGAGGAAGAAAAAAAAACCAGAAGCTAACCATCTACGGGAACGAGTTCCTTATTTAACTTACAGTCAGTCGAGAACCGAATGTACACAGACAACTAGTACTGGCACATGAATTTCTTTTGATAAGCTTTTCTCGCCCAACAGCGGGCCGCTTCGGGTTGACTTGGCTAATGATCCCGCGGAGCACGACCTCGGGCTGGGCATTGCTGGGCGCTGTTTCCGATAATCTGGCTAGTCAAGAACCTTCCCTCTAGGTTGTATTTCGTATTTTGGAGATTTACCACTTCTAGATCGAGAGGTATGTCCTGCCTTATATTCTTGATCCCTCCTTGCTTTGCCAACCCTGGGGAATCGCTCTCTGCTCGGGATGGCGAAGCTGCTTTTTCACTTACATAGCGGCTTATCAGAACTTGTCCCCTCGCCATTTTCCGTATATTAGCATTCATGCACGAAAACGCTCTTGTCAACTTTTATAACTTCAAGTTGTCGAACGGTTTAATATGAGGTATTCTGCGAGCTATAGCCAGATCGTTCGTGTACGAGGATACTCCGCAGAACCGCACAGTCGGCCTACCTGCCTCTTAGTCCTCCACCAACCTGTGGTTACAAGCATACTACTTTCTTCATAACCCGAGAAGATCTACCGTTTATTCTTATATCAAAGCAGGAGATTATGTGTCTCACAAGTTTGCAGCAAACAGGCTGCCTCTCTGTCCCACCCCTGGTACTCGAGCACGACCCCCAGAAGACCGCTTGGTATATCTCCAGGGCTCGCTCCTGGGTTGCTCTCCGTTTTCCCTGATTCAATCTTTCCAAAGCAATAAACGAATCGAAGTCTACAGTTTGTGGTGCTGAGAACGACGAACATTTCAAGCTTTCGTCCAGCTTGTGCTGACGAGTCTCTTCTTGGTACCCGAGGCCATCCTGTGATAGCTGCTTCCGTTTTGGTGGCTTCTATTTCGTGTCAAAAACATAAGCCAAAAAAAAAAAAAATCAAGATCAAAATCAAAAAAGAAAAAAAAAATAATAGAGAAAGAAAAAGGCTGCTGTCTTCTTCTTGCAGGACAAATTTTTTGCCATTTCCAAGAGGATCTTTACGCCGGTACCCTGACGGCTAACCCCCAGAGCCAGAATGCCGACTCTCGACGTCAGTGAGCTCAATATCGTTCTGGGCGTCCTAGGTTGTTGTAGTATGCTCTCATTTGTTACGCTTTTGCTTATAGAATTCTAGGTGCATTCATTATTCTCTTTGGCATCATCTCAGTGAAGATTAAGCAGGTGTGGTACCTAGGGGAAGCTCGTAGGTAGTGCGAGAACCACATGGAATGAGCTTGGTTGGTTGACGACAGTGCTATATTTAGTACCTGCCGTTGCTCTTGGAGTTCTTATGGGACCCATCGCAGCAAAGTTCCTAGACAGCGAACGATGGGGCTCTGCGGAAAAAGGCCAGACGAACGAGATCACACTGGTTCGTTGTCACACCCTGCCCTCACACCGCGCATAATAATGACTGGCTGTCCTCAGGGTGTGACTCGTGTCATGATTGGTTTGCAACTAGTCATTGCTGGATACCAGTTGCCCGCCAAATACAACTGGTACCAATGGAAACCAATGGCGCTCTGCCTGCTACCCATCATGGCTGTCATGTGGCTCTGCACATCTCTCTGCATGCTGGCCACTGTGCCCAAGATCACGCTTCTGGCAACCCTCGTCATTGCCTCCTGCGTCACCTGCACTGACCCTATTCTGTCGCAAGCCGTTGCCAAGGGTCCCTTTGCGGACAAGTACGTAGCCCGTCCGCTACGCGAAATCATCTCCGCCGAGGCTGGCGCGAATGATGGCTTTGGTTTTCCATTTCTGCTGCTTGCCGTGTACCTCATTCGCCATGCCGAGAACCCTGGCGATAGAGCGGGTGGTGCTGTTGTGGCAGCGGGCGGTGAAGCAGTCGAAATGATTCTGGTTCGCGCTGGTGGGGAAGTTGGTCGAATGGGTGGCGGAGTCGGCGTGGCCTTGAAGAATTGGTTCCTTGAAACTTGGCTCTACATCGTCCTCCTTTCTATCGTATATGGCGCTGTTATTGGCTATGGCTCCTCCAAGGTCGTCAGATACGCCCTCAGGCGGTAAGTACTCTGCGTCCACCCCTCCACAACTACAGAGTGCAATGCTCATGTACAACAGAAAATGGATCGACAGCGAGTCGTACGTTCTCTTCCCTGCTGCACTTGGGTTTTTCCTCATCGGGACTTGCGGCGCAATCGGAACCGACGACCTGCTTGCTTGTGCCGTGGCAGGCAATGCGCTAAACTGGGACGGCGAGTATCTCGCGGAGACCAAGAAGCGTCATGACGAGGTCAATCCGTGCATTGATGTCTTGCTCAACTTTGGCGGTTTCATGTACATTGGCACAATCATACCATGGTCCGAGTTTAATGATCCCGACGGCACTGGCCTTACATACAGCCGTCTCGTTCTTCTTGGCATTCTCGTCCTGCTGTTCAGGCGCATTCCCGTCATCTTGATCAGTTACAAGCTGATGCCAGCCGTTTGCAAGAACTGGAAAGAAGCACTGTTTATGGGGTACTTTGGGCCGATTGGCGCTGGCGCCGTCTACTACCTCGAGCATAGCAGGCACCTGTTTCCGAAGATTGGAGAAGGCGATGAGGAACAGACCAACCTCATCAGGGCCATCGGGCCTGTCGTGTACTGGCTGGTGATATTCTCCATGGTAGTACACGGCTTGTCTATTCCGGTGCTTGACCTCATCTATACACGCATGGGTATCAAGCCCATTCAGGAGGACGCGATTGAGATTCGCCGCGTATCCAAGAGCATTGCGACGCCAGTGAATGCAGTACCTTCAGAACAGGGCACATTTGTTGCATACAACCGATTCAGCCGCCCAAACGCTGAAAATTCGCAACTGCCCGTGGTACGCGATGCACCCGTCGAAAAAATGTATCGTACGAACAGCTGTGATGAAACGGACAGGGAGCGCCACCGCACAATTCGTTACGCCGAGGATGAGAGAATATAGATTCCGAGGTCGGGAAAGTGGTTTCGATTCGTTTTGCACGGTGGCCTGTGAGCTCGGATGAATATAGATTAAGCAAATTTCGTGAGAAAACCAACTACATTCGCTCTTTATATTCGGTCCAAATCAACTGCTCAAGTGACATAATTCCAGTATGTGTTCTCAATCGACTGCGGCGAGAACTTCGACCATGACTAGGTCGCGTAATGGCCCCAGTCGCCCCAGGTAAATGGTAGGCCAATGTCTAGGTGCGCCTCTAGCGCATCTTCTACAGCATCGAGATTGAAGCTTGGATCGATGTGGCCAAAGACGTCTTGACCAGACACAGGATCGACGAGGGAAAAATCGACCGTATTATCCATTCCGATGGCAGAATCGATAGCGGCATTCATACCGTCTGGGTCATGTAGCGGCAGTTCTGTAATGCCTGCCGTAGGTATGCTTGGGGCACTGCCGGCTAGATTGGACTCTGCGATAGTGACCGAAGGCGTGTAATCCTTATTCAAAGTGGTGGCAGCTCGCTCCATTTCCTTGAGTACTCGTTCTCCTAGCCCTGCCACCACACTAGCGTTCCAGAAATGGTTGCTATAACGCCTCAACAGCTCGCAGTTCCGCTTGAAGGAGCTCATGGCCCTGGCACGGAACATTGGCAATCGACTATGTCGCATTTTTCGGTATTCCACACTCAGCGCCAGGGACACAGCGTAGGGAACAAACGGCGCCGGGCTCAGGCAGTCTCGTGGAACTGCGCATGCAATTCTTTCGGCTGCCAAGGACCGGCGGGCGTTGGCTGAAGGCGGGGGAAGAGTGGAAGCAGCGGGTGCAGTGCCTGGGCGCGGAAGTCGGCAAGATAGGATGATAACGGCGTGGTAGAATGTCTCGATGGTGGCTGAGCGCAGTGTCAAAAAGGTAAAGAAAAGTAGAAATCGGACGGGAACAAATACCAATGAGAGGGGAAGAAACTTTGAGAGCATCCGCATTCACAATCATCGCTTCCAAGACTGGCAGGTCGATGTAGGCTACCTTGTCAACCCCAGAAGCTTCTTCACTTGGGCCTGGCCGATATAGCTCTACCACTTGGTCGAGCCATTGTATGACGGACAGAAAAAGTCTAAAACATGGCGGTCGTTTGCGAATGCATGCGTCGAGATCGGTGCCGATATCCCTCTCATGGAGCAGACACGGTCGGCCATACATGGCCGCATTTATGCGATCCAATGCCCACACTGCACAGAACAAGTTGTTCAGGTCATCGCAGTTGGGTGAGTCGTAGCGTAATAAGTGAAGACCCAATGTTTGGATGTGATGTATAGCCCTACCGCCCAGCTGCGCCGGTAAATCGGCTTCCTCAGCGCATGTGGGCTGAACGTAGAACGATAGCATTGCTAAAGCTTGAATGTGCGCCACTCTGTCAGTGATGAGGCTTGTTTCTAGTATAGCTCTAACCGACGAGGACAGCGATTGCGAATAGTCTTGTGGCGATAACAAAGCAGAACCTCTGTTCTCGAGTCGTAGGTATTGTGTCATGTCTGGGTCGCTTCCAGCCGCCAGGCATACAAGTTGGCGCTGAATAATATTTGCAGGGCTGTTGAGAGGTTCATTGAGCGATGATAGAGAGAGAATGGGGAATATGGGGTGAATCTTGTGAATAAATGTGGCTTTCAGCTTTGCGAAATCGTCCTCCGGAGGTAAGCATGACAGGCAATGTTCCTCTACGAATGGGAGCAGAAACCTGTCCATTATCGCAGGTGGTCGAGAAGTGATGAATTGTGACGACTGTCCACTGCCAGCGGGGAGCCATATTCCAACGTCACCCTTCTGAGAGGATTCGCGAGCGGAGACTGACGCTGTGGCCTCGATAAACATGCCCTCGGGATTCAAGTCGCCAACAAAGCGAGACGACCGCGTCTGAAACGAACCATCTTGGGCATGACGCTGCACTATGTTATTTGCGCGATTGAATGGCGGATGAGGCTGTTCTTGCTGGCGGCCATAAAGGCCATTCGCGGCTAAAGGTAATGAGGTGCGGCTGACCGGCGTGACGCTGCGGGCGTCGTGTACAGGCCTAATTCAATCAGTATATCTTGGATGCATTCCTCAGTCTGGAAAACTGCTGAAGAAAGGGCTCACGATGTGTGAGATGGCGAGGAACCTGGGCCACGGCCCTCGTCTGGTGAGGGTTCATCTCCCGCGTCATCTGCATGAATACATCTTCGCTACCACGGAACCTCGGTCAGCTAGCTGCGGGAACTGCTAATCTTGGGACTGCGTTAACGAACCTTTTTCCGGCGACAAGAGTCGCAGGCGTGCTGGACCTGTTTGCGCTTCACAGGCAAGCCGCCTCGAGATGGATCAGAAGCGACAAATTTTACTCTTTTGCTGCTGGCGGGCGTCGACATGATTGCAAACGGCGGCTAGAGTCGGGTGCGCGCGATTGTACCATGCTGCGCAGGAGTGGTCAGTTGAGAACGCCGCATACGACGTGGAACACAGGCTTGCTGTACTGTCATGCCCGGTCTGGCGTTGATTCTTTCTGCGTTCGCGACGAAGAGTCATAAATAAATCCTGCCATCACGATGGGGACAAGTAGGTAACTAGGCAAATTGCCAACAGCGCTATAGGTACTAGCCACCAAGGCTTTCGGATTGTCTTTCCAGCGCCACTTTGGGGCTGAGACCAGCTGATTATTCAGCACGTTCTAGCGAGTTACCCCACTAACTACGGTTAGCATCGCCCCCAACTCCAGCACCTCTGACACGAACAACGAAGACCAAGGCCAACAAACGCATCAAGATTGAATAGGGAGTTGTCTTGGGCGAATGTTGAATAAGTATAAATACTGTTTCGAATATTCCTCGCTCCTAAGCTCACTTTCCCACTACATCTTTCAGCTCCGTCTTGGGAACGACAATCGGCTCAATCTTGGTGCGCACCTGCGTCTGCTGCTCCAGAGCATAAGCCATGCCAATCAGAGCTTCCTCACTAAAATGATCACCCGCAAACCCAACACCAAATGGCTGGTTAGGGCTCGTCGCATTCAGGTTTCCAAAGTCGTTCTGAGTCACGAGCGTGCCTTCAGGCATACGGCCAATTGGCAGCGTAATGGCGGGGTGACCCAGAGGAGCAGCCAAATTCGATGCAATGGCTGAAGGCGCAAATACGGCATCCAGCGAGTGGTTCTTCAAAGCACCAGCCAGACCCTCCTGGCCGGCGTAGAGTAGCTGCTCTTTGTACGCCTGCTGGAACTGGGGCGAATCATTTCCGTAACCCCGCTCCAGCGCCGAATCCCAGACTCCCGTGTCTCGCTCTGGCCAGTCCTCTCTAGAATCCTGGTGTGTAAATTCTCGTAGGTCCGCAAGAGAATGGATGTTATTTGGGTTTGTGACCAGATTCTTGAGGTACAGCTCCGGTAAGCCCGTAAAAAAGTCAGCCTTGAGGACGATGTCGTTGGCAGAACGATACTTGGTGACCCCGGGAAAATCAATGTTTTCGACGATAACCGCGCCGCTAGACCGCAAAATCTCAATCGCCTCACGAAACGATTTTACAACAGCCGGGTCGAAATCTCTTTCATTTGCAACGCCCCGCGGTATACCAATGCGCTTGCCCTTCAGTCCAGACTCTTTGCAGGCCGCGACGTAGTCGGGGACCTCGTCACCAAAGGGTATGGCAGACGTGTACTTGTCGTGGTTATCCTTGCCAGCAATGGCGCCGAGCAGATGCGCGGCATCCTTGACTGTTCTCGCCATGGGACCAACGGTGTCCTGGTGCTCGGAAATGGGTACCACGAGGTATCGCGAAGTGAGGCCGACAGTGGGCTTGATACCAACAAGGTTGTTGTACTGTGAAGGTGAGATGATTGAGCCAAAAGTCTCGGTGCCAAGGCAAGCCCAAGCCAGACCAATTGAGGATGCAACGCCGCTTCCAGAAGACGAACCAGAGGGGTCTTGGCCGGGAAAGTAGGCTCCAATCGTTTGTCCACCAACTGAAGTCCAACCTGAGCTACCATTGTTGCTGCGGAAGTAAGCCCACTGCGAGAGATTGGCCTTGCCCAGAATGATGGCACCAGCCTTGCGCAGCTTAGCGGCGACAGTGCTGTCCTCTGGAACCTTGGCACCGATCAAAGCAAATGAACCGGCAGTGTTGTTCATCTTGTCGTCGGTAGCAATGTTATCCTTGATGAGAATGGGAATGCCATGCAGAGGGCCGACTTTGCCCTTGGCGCGCTCCTGGTCCAGCTGGGCAGCAATTTTGAGGGCATCGGGATTGATTTCGTTGACGGCGTGCAGCTGTTCGCTGACATCGTTGATTCGAGCAATGTAGGCCTTTGTCAGGTCCACGCTGGTGAATTGGCCCCCATCAAGTCCCCGACGTAGCTCGTCAAGCGTGGCGTCAAGTAGTGGCGGGAAGCTACCCGTACTGCAATTGGCAGCGTTGACAGCGATTTGTAGAACCAGGCAGCAGGCGCTCAGAAGGCGCCCACCTATGGACAATTTGCTCATCATGATACCGGCCAATCAATTGACTTTGCATATAAAATAAAGAACAATGGTAGCCCTACGTACTGGGCAACTGTGCCCTTATCTACTACAATGAGACGACCAGGAACTTCTGTGGCCTAGAACTGGACTCTGTTGCCTCAATCGGCAGGAGCCTACCGACCTACATACGGTGTGACAAGCCCCGGAGGAGCTACCTATGCAGCTCATAAATGCTCACTTGATCCATGCATCGTCCTAGCGCATGGCCGTGTCACCAGCCTAGTAGTCGGCGTAGTGTGCGGGGCTGTCCGGAGCATATCAATGTCCCCGTGCATGTTGTTACAATGGTCAGTGTCTGCTCCACATAGACGTACGAATCGTATCAGTGAGTCCAGCATTGATAGACTGGGACGAAGTGGCTCATTATTAGTGCCGATGTAGGCTTGGCTGAACCTTGTTCCTCATCCCCGCCACCAGCCAACGACGACTCTTGGCAATGCCGCTGGTGACGGCAATTATCCACCAGCCTCGATCGAGAAAGCACAAACGGAATTTAGTCTCTAATATATACAAACTAGTAGACGACAGACAGAGTATTGCTGGTGGGGCGTCAAAAAGTCCGAAGTTATTGCCGAGATGGTTCGGAACGTTGGTCAAGAGCGTGACTTCATTATTTTGAAACTGTTGCGGCTTGTACTATAGAATTGGCTTTCAGAGGGGGCAACTTGCTGCGCAACCTGGAGAATCTTGGCGGATAAACTAATAACCTGGGCGCAGTCAGCGAAATCAGTCGAACAAGTTAATTAATAGCTCAGCGCGCCCAGACAAGCTGAAAGCCTAGTAGCAACTCTATATCAAGCTTGTGTCTGAAGCGCGGACGGCTCAGCCCAAGCAACTCCCCTCTCATCCTGCTACATTTGCTTCGCGCCGTCTAGAAAAAGAGCGCAGCGAGTGTTGAGACACCAACACACCAGACGATAACTGACTGGTGGCTGGCGCTGGCGGCGCCGGTTACAGGGGCAACCAGGCGGGCGCTGCTCGACTGACCGGCGCGGGACGTCGGCTGCGCCTTGGAAGTTTGAGCGGGAGCGGTGTTGTTTCCACCTGCACCGGAGCTGGTGACGACGCGAGTGCAAGGACAGTCAGAAATGGTTAAAGTGGTGGCCTATGAGTTATTAATTCATGTCTAGGAGAACCTGGGTGTCGCATGGCGCAGGTACCTTGGAAACAACATAAGTGTGGGTGCCCTCGGTGATGGTCGTCGGACCAGGACAGTACGTTGTGTAGGAGTTGACCGTCTCTGTGATGACAGCCACTGCACCGCTCTGGGTGGACGAGGGAGCAGAAGAAGTGGCGGAGTGGCTCGCAGCATTGCGGATCAAGGTCAAGTCATCGCCAGAGGAGCCGTCGCCGCCCTTGACAAAAGACCAGGTCAAAACAGTCTCGTTGACAACAGTCAGCTTGCTGAAGCCGTAGTGCGTCTGGTCAAAGATGGCGGTTATGCCAAGCGGCTTCTTGGCCTTGGACAGTTCTGCGTGGCTTTCGATGTTGCCAGCCATGCCGTTGATGATGTGGGTAATGGAAACGCCTTCATTGGCGTAAAAAGTGTTGTTGTTTATGATGGCGCTCTTGTCAATGGTGCCGTTTCGGCTGAGTGGAAATGTGCGCTCGTACCAGTGAATGTGGCTTAAAGAAGGTCAGCTGTCTGTCAAGGGGGGGCGTCATCTAGGATGGATCTTACCCAGATAGATATGCATCAACACCATATTTGAGGAAGAGGTCCTCGAATGCGTTACGCATATGCTGCTGGTAGCCTGAGACCTGTGAGCTATACATGGGACGATGGCTCATGGCGATGACCCAGGGAGTCTTGGTGCGGTTGACCTTTGCCAAATCGTTCTGTAGCCACTTGTACTGCTCGTACGACTCCTTCTTGGTAATGTCTCCATCAACAGTGCCGAATGGACCGCTGTCTGTAATGTAAGTCTCGTTTGCCTTGGGAGCCTTCTCGTCTCCCTTGATGTCACGAGCAAAAGAGGCTTCTGGACTGTTGGGATAGTCGGTTTCGCCATTGAACGAGATGAAGTGAGCGAGACCATAGTCAAACGAGTACCAGAAGTTGCTGACGCCATCGGACTCGCCACCGGGCATACGGAAGCGGTGCTGATAAGCAGTGTAGTTACTGTCGCGAAAGCTTTAGTATCAAATCTCAGTGCTATGTGGCTATGGGATAGCAACATACCGTTGAGATGGGGGGCAGCTGTAGTAAGTGAGTTTATCAGACTTGGGTGCGGTACTGTTCGGTCTGTTATAGTTCAAATAAGCGGCGAGGATCTGACCAGGGCCGTCAAATTCGGCACAGGCAGCCTCGTGGTTCCCGGGAAGCACCATGTACGGCACTTTGGACGTGATAGGGGTCATCCACTGCTGCCAAAGGTCCCAGTTGGACTCGTACAACACCGACATGTCACCGCCATTGGGCGTGCCCTCTGTTGGGATCTCGCCCTCGGGAAGAGGCTTGTCATAGTCGGACGTGATTCCGCTCGGCAGCTGGGTGCTGGACCCATTGTAGCAGACGGGCCAGCTACTCTGGCAGGGGATGATGCCACTATACCAGTCGTCTGCGTAACTAATATCGCCTCCGTGCCAGGCAAACGCCAGACCCTCGTCAATGGCTTTGTTGAGCTGCTTGTACGTGCCACCGGCGTTGGTGTAGCCCATGTCGTTGAGGACACCGATGGTGAAGCTCTTCTTGCTTCCCGCGGGGCGGGCAGTCTGGAAGCTCAGAACGTCAGAGGCGGTCGTGCCATTAGCTGCGGTGATGAAATAGTAGTAGGTGGTCTCGGGCTTCAAGCCCTTGATCTGCACGTCGTGGTAGTGCTGGCTGCACTGGGTGACGGCGACTTCAGAGCATGGCGGCGTGCGATCGTATCTGATGATGTTAGAGAAATCGGCTGGCAAAGGAGCTAAGCTAAGAAGTTACGCACGAGTGGCTTACACCGTGAGCAGTCTGATCTAAAGCATCTCGGCTAGTTCCCCAACGTACAGATGGAGTACTTCCCAAGCCGAATGGTGTCTGGTAGTGAATGTTGACACCAGTGCTGCCGGCGTAGGACAGGGAGATGACGTTGATATTGTTGGTAGGGTTCGGGGAAGCGGGCTTAACGGCGGGTGGCTCAACAAGGCGCATGTAGCCCTTACCGTTGCCCTTGACCGTAGGGTTGACCCAATCTCCAATTGGAATCTCCGGCCCAGAGTAGGGGTAGGTCTCGTCGACGGTTGGCACCGCCTCGATTAGGGCAGAGAGTAGGCCAACCACGGCAGTGACAGCAATCTTCATGCGTGCCATTATGCGTACAAGCGAGATGAATCGGTCAAGATGATTTGGCAGGCTTGGGTTACATTCGGGATACTTTCACGACATGAGCTACGAATGGGCGGCAACCGCCATTCTTAATAGGACCAGGCAAGCCTCGATCGGTCGACCATATCCGCTAGGTCGTGTGTGGCGCAAAGTAATGTTACCTGAACGATGATTAATGAGGAAAGGTCACGTCGGATGAAAAGCTGTTCGCACAGCGCAGAGAAGATGAAGCTCGCCCATCTCCAACAAGGCCCTATGACGGTTAAGGAGTTGAGCACATGGCATCACCGTCCTTGCTACCGCTGTGCCGCGTTATCCGGGGAGGTGGGATCTTCCAGGCCGACTTATGACCGGCAGCCACTCAGGAACGACTTGGACAAATTTATTGCAATTATGTTTGCAATTATTCGCCGATGCTGCGCAGTGGTGGAGATGGTTCCAACACGTGGGTGGAGCGAGCCCTGCCCGCTGAGGTTTCCGACTGTCAGAAACGTTGGCTGCATGGCTGGATGGATGACTCGGCTCGGACGAAATTTTTGCCCTGATTGTGTGATAATCGATGAATAAATGATCGACTGCTGCCAGTGACAGGGCAGATGTCATTCCATCGAGGTGGCCTGGTGAAGCCGTCCCATGTTGGTAGCGGGAGGTGGTTGTTCCGCGCAAAGCAGTCCGTCTTACTTCCCGGCTATTGTGTAAGATTGAAAAGGGTGCATTATTATGGAATGTTACTTCGTGTCTACGAAGAGAAAGAAGCAGGAGAAGACGACGATGATGATGCAGAAGAAGACGACGATGATGATGCAGAAGAAGACGACGATGATGATGCTCGATTAAGGCTTTCCAAGTCAAACGAATGCTCACTGCGCTGCGTCCTGATAAAGGTGGGTCTGACGAAGCTTTGACCAATGAGAGCCGGTAGGCTTCTCCCATGGTGTGCAGCAACTAGCAAGGCATTGGAGGTTGAACTAAAGAAGATGGGCAGAGGCCGTTGTGAAATCCATCTCCTTATCATTCAGGGAGGGCTTGAATACTCGTCCTGGCCTTGTGATCGGCAAAGCCAGTGCAACGGCCCGCTTCGGCTCGATCTGCAGGCAGAAACAACAACAATCACGGTTTCCACGTCGCACGACAGCGACGCGTCCAACAACCCCAGTTGCCCAGTCCCAGAACACGCCAGGGTCCAGGCAACAGCGATGCCCACCGCGAAATCGCGAATCCCTGCAAGTTGCCCCAACCGCTGGCTGTCAATTCACGGTCGATGCGTGGGGCCGGCCCGGTACAGAGGGCCGGGCGCCATGCCTAAATAGGAAATAGGTAAACAAAGCATAATAACGTGCAGATAATTCGTGTTAGTGGGCATTGTGTTGCGCGACACGTCTCTGTAGCAGGCAGAAGCAGGCTTCAGCACGATATCGTTGTTTTGTTTCATTAGTTGCCAACAGAACCAAGACCTTTATTTACCATTTTTTGCCTCTGTCTGCCTCGATTTTCCCTCCTCGCTCTTGGCTTCTGCATTCCTTTTTCACGCTTCTTCTCACCAGTCTCGGGCGGACTTGCGACAATTTCAACGGCAAAAACATGTCGGACGCAAATATGGAGGATCTTGATCTGCCCATCGCTATCCGGCGCTCCCGTCGTAGCACCCCGGCTCTCTCGATCAAAGCCGAGGAGACGACCACGACTATTGCGCCCGAAACTCCAGGCCGAAGGAAGCGTTCAGTCCGCTTTTCCGATCCCGGCCCTTCGTCCGGCTTGACTCCCATGATGCGTCGGACAAGAGTTGCGACATTTGGCCGCAGATGCTCGGGAACTCCACTCCGGAATTCTAGCCCTGTTGCGCCTGTATCAACTGGTCATTCGCGAAAAGATGCCAACACATTCTTGGCCCCGATCCGCCAAACAATTGATGGCAGGGTCGAAAGACAAGCAAGACGAAGTAGTTTCCGCGCCATGTTGAATAAGATGGAAATGAAAAAGAAGAAGCTGGTGCAGTTCTCTCGTGCCGAGATTGACAAACTCAGGAGCCAAGTCAAATCCAAGGATGCCGAAATCTACGAGCTGCAAAACGCCACCATCGTCATTGACACTGAGCGCATATGGGATCTTGAGAAGCAAGTTCAGCAGCTTCAGGAAGAGTTGGATCAGCGTGCCCCGACTGAGCTGAATGAAAGCCGCACATATGACTGGACAATGGCTGCCCGGGACCCATATGCCCAGGACGAGTACTTTGACATGGACATTGACGGTGACCACTTTGGTGACGTTACCCAAGCTCAACTCGAGGTCAGCACTCCGTCACGGGCTCGTTCCTCATTCCCTACGCCGCCAGCGACAAGCCCAATGATCCCTGGGACACCTTCTTCGCTCTTTTGTCGCCAGCAACATACATTAGCCTCACATGCTGCTGTCCAAGCATGCTTTCCAGACCCTGAGCGCGAACTGCTGGAAGAACAAGTATCATCACTTCATCTTGAAGTAGCCAAGCTCACTACTACGTTGGATTCATACAAGAGTTTCCAGATGCGTCTGAAGGATCGCCTTTCCGCCGCTGTCCCGGAGGCGATGGATACCACCGCCTCCGACGCCAATCTAGAAAGTATTGAAAACCAGATTCTGCGCATGTTGGAGGAGATGTCGGATCGCTCTACTGCTCTCGAACAGCTTTCTGCAGGCATCACCGACATTGGCTTCCCGGGCAAAGACGCCGAAGAGAGTCTCGGCTCGCTTGTCAAGGGGTTCCGCGAAGCCAGACTTGAGCTCGAGTATCTCACACCAGGCGAGATCTCTCTGCCCCTCTCCCACCACGGAGCAGAAGTCCTAGACTTGCTGCTGACGCAGCTGCGCGATCTCGCCAGGCGCGTCAAGGAAGGCGAGGACAGCATCGACGAGTATCACGCCACTGAGCAGTCTCTCCGCAAGCAGCTTGACAGCCGTGTCACCGCGATGAATCAACTCAAGACTGAGATGAATAAAGGAGAGCAGATTATCCGAGCTGCGGATATTCGCATCCACGAACTGGAAGTTGCCAATACCAGGCTCAGGGGAGCCATTGATACCTACGAGCGCGACATCAAGGAGCTTGAGACGCTTGTGGAGAGGACGGACCAGGCAAAGACCGAGGCAGCAAAGGAGCACGACACTGAAAAGGAAAAGGATGTCGAGACGATTGAGGCCAAGGACAAGATGATTGCAGAGCTCCAGGAAAAAATCCAAGAGGCGGTCAAACAAGCAGAGCAGCTGCTGCAGGACATGTCGGACGAGCAAGACAAGCACACTCGGCACGTCGTAAAGCTCAACCAGTCACACGGCCGCGGCCTGGCTCTCCGCGACGCGCGCGTCATGGAGCTGCGCGTGGAGATTGACCGCGTCAACGAGTCCCTCCGCGAGTCGCACAACACCATTCGCGCGCTGCGTGTAGAGAATGGCGGGCTCCGGTCGGACATGCGCGCGCAGCAGACCAAGGCCAAGGCTGCCATGGACGCCATGAAGGAGGAGCTGCAGCGCGTCTTGCAAATGAGCCAGGAATTTTTGCACACGCCCAAGCGGAAGCGTCCTGTGAACGATGAAGGGAAGGGCAGTGGCGGCGCGCCGGTCGTCCGGGCTGGAAACCTTTTGAGCGGAGAGCTGGCGCGGCGTGCCTCGTCTACCAAGCGTCGCAGGCGTCCGGACAGCGGTGTCGGCTTACTGGAGGAGGAGGAGGAGCAGGAAGAGTGTGAAATGTTTTGAGATGTTTGGCAGATGACTGGCGTCAAAGGCAAAGGCGAGGCTGTGTCTGGACAAACTGCATTGCATATTTAATATATCCAAAAAGCTTCATGCTGAGGTCATTCCCTTTTTTTCAGATTTTCCTTTGTTACAATATACAAGAATAATTGCTCAAGTTTAGAGATGGATCAAGCGCCTATTTGTTCCCAATTCCCGTGATTATTTTTTCTTGTAGAATCGCCACTGAGGCTTATAATCAGGCGACAAGGGCAAATCGAAAAGAACGGCACGAATCATCTCCACAGGCATTATGCCTCCCCGCATGATGCCGTCATGAAACTGCTTTTCCGAGAGCCGCCCCTCGCGCAGCACCTCACTGCGCAGAGCATCAAACTGCAAGGCGCCGAGGAGGTAGCCGGCCTGGTACAGCGGCGCATAGTCGCCGCCAAAGGAGCGCCGGACCTCGCCCTCGGCCGTGGAGCGCTCGTGGCCGACGCCGTCGACGAGCAGGTCGACGCACTGCCGGGGCGTCCACTCGCCGAGGTGAAACTTGAGCGAGAAGACGATGCGCGCGCAGCGGTGCATGCGCCAGAACATGGTGCCGACGCGGTCCTCGGGGGACAGAAAGAAGTCGCCGCGGTTCCAGAGCAACATCTCCCAGTACAGCGCCCAGCCCTCGACCCAAAAGGGCGTCGAGAAGAGCAGGCCGCGGTGGCTGTGGCGGCGCGTCGTGTAGTAGTGCTGCAGGCGGTGGCCGGGCACGAGCTCGTGGAAGACGGTGGCGCGCGCAAAGTGCCGGTTGTTGCCGCGCATCACCATCTTCTTGAGAGCGTGCTCCATGTCCGCGAGCGGGTACGAGATGAGGATTCCCGAGCCGCCGAGGAAAAAGGGCGCCACCTTTTGCATCTCGGCGCTCATCATGCTGGCTCGGTACGTCTCGTCGGCGATGCGCGGCACCGTCACGAGGTCGTGCTTCTTGATGAATTCGGCGCCCTCGAGCGCGAGCGACTTGACGAGCGCGGGCTGCTCGCCCGCGGGCACAGACTGCGTCTTGACGTAGTCGAGGGCCCGTTTCCAGTCGGAGCCGAACCCGAGCTCGTCCGACGCCGTCTTCATCTGCGCCTCGCACCATTGGAAGACGTCGTGGGCGAGGTCTAGCAGCTCCTCGGGGCTGTACGCAATCATCTCAGCCTCGAGCTCGACAAGGAGCGCATCTTTACCAATTGGCTGGCCAATGACTTCGTCTTGGCCATTGGGTCCGATGCCAACAAGGTGTCGCTCAACAGTGACCTTGTATTCCTGCAACGCCTTTACTGCGTGTTTGAGCGGTGTCGCAACCCACCAATCAAAAGACGGATCATAGCTGCCGTAAAACTTGCCTATTTCTTCGAGGTGCCTCTGTAGCTCGGCAATGATTTTGGAGGCCTTGTATGCCCCCGTCTTCGTAGAGCGTATTTTACCGTCGACGACATCTTTTTGTGACTGTTCAGCCAATTCTCTGACGGCATTGACTTGATCGGCAACATACGAGCTTTCAATTGGCTTGACGGCTTCACGAGCCTCGGATAGCTCGACAATGATTCCAGAAAAGGGAAAGATGTGTTCAATCTTGGAGTTGAGCTCGCGCTCAGCCTGGAGCTGCTGCGTGGTCCGTTCAAGGTAGTTGCGAAGTTGCAAAAAGTCTACTTGATCCTGCTTGGACAGCTGGTGAAAGTTGAGTCTGAAAATGGAATCGAGCTCATCGCTGAGGAATTGGCGCAATCTTTGCTGCCTTTTCGGCGAAACGGAGACGCGATAATAGCTCTTGATCTCCTGCATGTCCAGAGCGACGCGCCGGACACGGTCGGACATGGACTCCTGGAAGTCATCATTTGTCGCGCTTGGACAGGCCACCCATACTGCGTCCATTTTACCGAGGATCTGGAATAAATCTGGTGAGTTTAGCAGAAGTGAAGTTAATCACTGATCGATATGCACCGTGATGGTGAAGTCAACGTTGATATGCAGGCGGCTCGTTTGTGGCCGGGTGCAGAACCCGCACCTGTCTGTTACTGTCAATCATGACTGCTGACCCTGCTTAGCAGGTAGTGACCTGTTTCGCTACCAGAACTGGCCATTGTCCAAACATTTCATACCATGCTCTTCTCAAATGGAGATGCCTCTGGAAAATATATGGCATTGACTGTGAAAGCTTTTGGCCGCACCCCCCATCATACAGTGCATCCAAGTAATTCCGCTCGCGACCTAAAACCTGACTAAAATGCCTATATTTAAACTACTAATATTATAAGAGCTAGTACCTATATATTATTTTTGATGATTATAGTTAAATTCTTTAACTAGTTATTAAAGTATATATATACATGATTTTAATATTTAATTTTGAATTTTAAATAAATTATAATATTTAAATAAAAACTTAGAATATAACATTACTAATAACGTCGGCCACCCACTTCTCGGCACTACCCACTTCTCGGCAGGGTAATCCTAGCCACCTCTTAATCTAACTAACGTTATTTAATGCGTGATTTCTCGCGAAATTCCTCTTCCTTAATTATAATTTTTTTCTTATATATATATTATACCTAAATATACAGAATCTAACCTTTAAAATATAATTTAAGACATTATAATAGGCTATAGCTAATCTTATATAATATAACGCTAGAATATATTATAATTAACTATATAAGATTATTAAAAGGGTAGAATATTATAAAAAGAGGCTTTTAAGATAATATAAAAGCTTCTTATAGCTTAAGAATTATATCTAATTTCTTAAATATTAATTTAAGATATAATAAGTAACTTTCTTATATATAAATAAGTTAAAAAGATTATATTAATACTAGTTAAATATAATAGTTATTAATAACTAATTAAGAAAAATTAATTATAAGGCTTTTTATATTAAAACCTAGAAGTTAAGACCTTAATAGGTAAGAAGCTTAATTTTTAATAGATAAATAGTACTTTAACTTATATTATCTAGGATTTCTTTAAACTTCTAATAATCTAAGCTCTTTAAG